ATTATATTGCCTATTTGTATTACGATTGAATTATTGAATAATATTATATTTTAGAATTTTTTTTTTTCTACTTTCTCTGTGAATTCAGAGTGTTACTTTTGATTCGAAACATTAAGAATCATAGTTTGAATTTATTATTTTTGATTTTATTAAAAATTAATAATTCAACCATGATTTTATTAAAAATTATCATACTTAAAAGTGAAATTGCATTTTTCTTACCATATGTATTTTATAAGGTGCCGATCGTTTTGATCAAAAAATAAAAATAAAAATAAAAAGGAAAAAGTGTGAATGTGGGTAGCAAAGGTTACAAAATGGTTAGGTAAACATATCAACAGAAGTGTAACAAAAAAGGTGGAAGAGGTTAGAGAAGGGGTTGTTGCTTTGCTTTACAGAGACGATATCACTTTACATATTCATAAGAAGTAATGATTTTGCTGTTCATTCATCAACCAATTATAACAACCACCACAAACACACGTTGGTCCAACAAAGTCTCTCTACTCTCAACTATTTCCAACATACTTTTGAGGCTAGGAACTTTTTTTCTCGAGGGATCAAGATATAATTCTTTTCAATTCTTTTAATATTATACGATTAACCGCAAATTGAATCAAAATCAGATTATTTCATGTTGAGAAAAACGAATACAAATAGGATTACAGAAATGTCAATCCTCCCTTGCGAGGCAAACGATCAAGAATGAAATGTGTTGATCATTTCTTTATAGTCTTAATTTATAGGTTAGGATGTTAATTTTTGTCAAAGACAACTATTGATCACTGATAATCCCATAAAAAAGGTGGGACAAAGAAGAGCACTTAGAGACCCACTCCAATAAGCCCTCATTAGTGAGATCATGAGGCTTCTGAAAGCGTCTTTTACTCCTCTCGGGAACGAACCTAACTAGACTAGCATAGCAGTCAATTACTGAGTCCCACTATAAACTCTAAGACTTAAATCTCCAACGTCAAGATCAGAAAATCAGTCAATACCCCAGTGAACCACCCCACTTGGTGATACCCTTCGATAGGAATTGGATCTACTAGTGTTTGTCCATCTCTTTCATGATTGCAATCTGCTTTTTTTTTTCTGTTGGTGTTCGTTTAAACTTCATTATAATAGTGATAAATCACATTTATAATGATTATCTATCCTTTCATATTAAGAAAAACATCTAAATCAATTGGTTAGCGTAGCATCAATAAAAAGTTAACAGGGTCTATTGAGAATGATATGTTTGTCCATATCATTCAAACTATATTCAAGTGGGGCAGATCACTTTCATTGCGTGTTATAGACATCGAAGCAATCTTGTTTGTCCTTTTTTTACTTTTCCTTGGTGAGGTTGATGGCAAGGGGTTGGGGGGGGGGGGGGGGGGGGGTGAATTGCCAATGTTTAGGATATGATATTGCATTTCTATTTATATACTATATATGTAAGGGAGGTAGTTTTGGACAAAATAGAAATTTGATACGACATGATTGTGTCCTAACCAGTACCAGAACGACCTTGTATCACAACAAACTACATCTTCTTAATGCTGTTTAGGAAACACCCTTGTTGTACAATAGATAGTCGGACACAGGAAAGAATCGGAATGAATCATTTAAGTTGTTTTTGAGGTTCAGGTATATTCTTGAAGATTGCCTTGAAGCTTCTACCTTGGAGCTTCAAACTTCATCAACAATCAAGGTGTCCATAAGATTCTACCTCCATCACTTTTCTAGTCATGTGCTTTTCTATCATAACGTCATAGTGAAAATAATGTTTAGCCGTAATGTTTTTATTAGACGAAAAGTAGTAGTATGGTATCATAGTTTTTGCATTATTGTTAAATCCACGAAATGATGTCGATATAATTATTAATATATTGCGGTTTGAAGTTCAAGTTATTTGAAAGATGTTTCAATTATTCTGATGCACAGCCATATATATCATTGTTGTCGTTGTCAAAGGGAAACAATAAAAAGGAGAGAGAAAGAGAGAGGCCCGAAAGCGACTCCCTCTAAACCATAATAGCATTATTTAGATCAAAAATATTGATAAATTCGTTATTATTGTTAGATTGACAACGATCTTATTAATATTAATACTCATTGCTAATCCAATTTACTGAAAATAAGTCTGTAAATCCGATCAAAATTGAATTCAAATAGCATTACCAATGTAACTAATGAGTGAAATTATTGCCCATAATCTCTCACATCTAACTGTGCCAGTGTAAGGTGTGAACAAGGTGGGGGTCATTAGAGTGTTAGGTAAGATATTCTGTTTATGATGAGAACATTTACTTCATTTATAAGAAAGTGGTTGTTTTACTATCGTCAAAAGCATGTCACCTTGTACTGTGTTCATTAAAATTTGACAATCTCACAAATAAGGGATGTCGTTTATAATCTTTTCAAGTAGTTGTAGTTAGGGTTGAAAATGAATCATGTAGCTTATGAACAATTCGGGATCAAACTCATTTATGAAGTTAATCGAATTTGAGGTTGATGTTACAATAGGCTTCACAAAAGAGTAGAACTCAAACGATAGTTAGTTTGGCAAGTCTAGGCTCATTAGCATACATAAATATATATATCCATATGTAAAAACAGAACACCTTTTCAACACGAATTCAACTTCAAATCTCAAATCCCAAGTTGACATAGGGACTTGCAGTTATTACTGCTCTGTTTGCCGGTTGTATTCACCACTCTCTCTCCATTTATGTGGGTAATTAAGGGCTTCTTATCTGCATGTGCATTGTACAAATAATGATATGGAGTGGGTAATGAGGCCAATGTATTGGCACATAATCGGTTTAAAGGTCATAATAAATTAGATTAGTAAATAAGGTTAAATTTTTAAGTATAAATCATATTACTCATAAAAAAATATTAGATGTAACGGTGATACTACATGTCATTGATGATATAGTGTCACCACCCAATGATAAAATAACAAGTAGATTTAGTGGGCTCCATTATTTTACTAACTATTAATAATTACTTCTGTCATGTTGAAATAGTAGAGTTATATGATAACATACCTTTACTAAACAGGGGCGGATTTAGTAAATTTTTAAAAAATTTGGGACTTAAGTATAATTTTAAAAATTTTAAGAATTTTTTAAACTTGCCCTCACTTAAACTTTGTTAAAATATAAGGTATATTAATATAATTTTTAAATCCTTAAAAGTCAATTTTGGCAGCTCCAGCTCCTCCTCATTTTTCATCACTTTTGTTTTTTTTTTTGTTATCCTGTAGGTCATCTTCGTCACTTTCGTAGTCGATTCAACTTCCAGTCTAGTCCTTTTCTTTCTTTTATTTAAGTTTCTTTGTTACTTTTTTTAGTGTATTCATCAACTAATCAGCCAAGAAGAGATAAATCAGCCAACGAATCAGCCCATTTTTTTTGTTTGTTCCTTTGGTGAATTGAATCGTTGTCCAAATCAAATTTGAACAAACCCTAGAAGATTATGTTGAAGTCAAGGAGAGAGGTAATTCATTAATCAAATTTTTTGATAGAAATATTAACACTAATTTAAAATCAGATTTTTTATATTAAAAAATTAATTTAGTTCCTGTAGAATTTTTGGTTGTTTGTTGTATTATTTATAAACTTATGCAGATTTTCTTTGTTTCATCTTGAGTCACCACTTAACTATTTTAAATTTTTGTTGAAGTCCCACATTCAGATTGGCTATCTAAGATTTTTTGTTAGTGTTATTTTTCTTTCCTATGATTAAATTGTTTTAATTGATTTCTTGAAATTATATTTTGGATTTTTAGATTATATTTTGATTATGTGTAGTCCATTATTGGATGTTTAAGAGTTGGGAACTCTTTTTGTATAGGATCTCGAACACTAAAAGATACTTTTGATGTGAAACTGTTTTGTTGTCTTTTTTTGTAAATCACTCATATATATGAGTTGTGTCTCTAAATAACATTCTTTTGACGTAATTATGCTTATAAACAATTGATAAAGAATACATATTTTGATGAAAACAATGTTACAATTATATTTTTTTTTATCTGAAAAAAAAAATTGGCTATAAAGTTTTTAAATTTCAATAGGGACAACTTAAATTCTTAAATTTTAAAGTTATATTTTGAAATTTAAAAATTTAAATTACCTCTACTGAAACAAAATTCTTGCTTCGCCCTGACTATAAATTTATAAATCCATAGCCAAAAAGGTCGGTGACTTTAGGATCAGATCAGGCCACTCCATTTTTTATTTTTCATTTTTACAGTTAATATAAAAAAAAAAGGGGACCCACTTGGGTTCCCGAATATTTTGTCTTTAGGTTAGAGGCATCTGCCCTAAAAGACAAGGTTGCACCGGGGCAGGGCATACCCTTCGGGATGCTTTCCACGACTCGCTAGGTACATTGGCACTCAATTATCAACGTTTTGCACTCGCTAGGTACATTGCACTTTCACCCTATAAACTATTTACCCTCACATTACCTCTAGTGTCAGTTTTCTAATATTGTATTATGATTTTACATTGGCACTCAATTATCAACGTTTTGCACGTTTCATCTCTAAATACTGTTGTCTGCCATCTATTACCCTGATCGTACTTAGCGAAAATGTGTATTCACGGATAACTCAGTTTAACTGATTGAGAGGGTAATATAAAAAAACTCAATAATTAAAGAAATAAAATTAGGTGGGGACCATACTTAAATAAGTAGACGGTGAAAATCTCGCCCTCTTCTGTTTGCGATAATAAATCATGTGAACTAGATATTGTTAGAGGGGTTGAATGTTTCATTTATTCTCACCGGTGACGAATTCGACTATTTAAAATCAATAACTATGATTTAAATTGAACATTTTATAACAAATAAAAATCTCAAGATAACGTGTTGCTGAATTATTATGTGTAGTCGCCCCTAACCATCCTTTTCAATAATTAAAAAAAAAAAGTTCCCCCCCCCCCTCCCCAAAAAAAAAAACCACCTATCTTTCTCCTCCTTTCCAATGTGTATATATAACACCCAAACCCAAACCCTCACACGAATCTCTCTCTAGAACACTGAAAGCCCTATTTTTTGAATACTTTCTCAGCAAGACCTCGCACTTCTCCCCTCAACCTCACCACCACTAATCCAACATGACGGCAAAGGACTGTGGCCACCACCACGACGAGTGGCGAAAGCGCTACCGCCCCATATTCGCCGCCTTCTTAGCCTTCATCATCGTCGTCCTCTTCATAATCCTCCTAGTCTGGCTCATCCTCCGCCCCACAAAGCCGCGTTTCGTCCTCATCGATGCCACCGTCTACACCTTCAACGTCTCCGCCCCAAACTTCCTCACCTCCTACCTTCAAATCACTCTCTCTTCTCGCAACCCTAACGATCGAATCGGCATATACTATGAGAAACTTGACATCTATGCCACGTACAGAGGCCAACAAATAACACTGCCTACACTTCTTCCTACTACGTATCAGGGCCACAAGGATGTTACTGTGTGGTCGCCATACTTGTTCGGCAATGCAGTGCCGGTGGCTCCTTATCTGAGCGTTTCTTTGGGTCAGGATCAGATGGCTGGGACGGTGTTGATGAACATTAGGGTTGATGGAAGGGTGAAATGGAAGGTGGGGACTTTTATTTCTGGGAGGTATCGTTTGTATGTGAATTGTCCTGCTTATTTTAACTTTGGTAACAAGAACAATGGTGTCTCTGTTGGACCAGCCATTAAGTATCAGTTGGTGCAGAGCTGCCATGTGGACGTTTAATCAAGCAGGTTCATCTCCTCTCTCTCTCTCTCTTTCTAGTTTATTTTCTTTTTTATTCTTTTGGATGTTTTATTTTACCTATAAGTTGTAATGGTATTACTATGGAAAACCTTATATATATGGTGGAAAGGAAAACATCATCAATTAAAGAGGAGAAGTTTCAAATTTGATCAGCTCTTTTTGTGTTTAGTTGTTTACATTTTCTATTAATCTTTAATCATTTGTCGAAGAGTAACTCAAGTGATAACATAAACAAATCGTAAGTCCAAACGTCTTTAAAAATTTATCCCTCATGAATATCTTAATTCCGACATGAATGATCTGTTTTTAAACGGACCTAACAACCCGGATCGCTGAAAAAAATATTTATTTCTCACTTTATCAGTTCAATGGTTTTTATCTTTTTGATGAGAGAGAGATTCTGATGTGTGGCACTGATTGGTTTTTGGATAGGGGACCCATTTTTTTCGAGTTATGTTCGGTGCCTGTTAATTAAAAGAAAGAAAAAAAATTGTAAATTAATTCTCTTGGCTTAGATATCAATGGTTTTGCTGGGTAAGGAAATAATATGATACACAGCTTTCTAATTGCATGACTTCAGGATCATGTACCAGGGAATATGATATAAACAACGTTTTTGCATTTTATAAAAGAGTCAACATCCATTTATGTGATGTGATTCACTAAGTAGTATTTTATTTATTTGGGATGGGGACGGGAGTTAAAAAAAAGGGCGTATTCAGTGTACGAGAGTGCACCGCTCGTCATGAAGTGATTTATCAAATTAAGTTTTTAAATTTTTAAATTTATTTAATATTTTTTAAATAGATGACCCCTTCTACAAAGAAAGAAAGAAATGAAAAAACAGTAGTAACAAGTCTGGTTTTGGGCATTGTGTGGTGACTGGTATCACTACTGCTAACACATTGGTTAGTGTTGATGGTACATAGCCCCGTGGGCCCATTGAATGAGATGAATCAATTATTGATGATTCCCACTTACCAAAAGGTGGGCCCCTATGCCCTTCGAAGGATTGACAGAGATTAACTTCTTTCACCAACTGCTTCCGCCCGCCCATGTGGTAGAATGTAAAAACTGTTGGAGATTAGGTGCTCTTAGAACGAGTCGTTCTCAATATTTTGTGGTGATGACATGTTCTATAATCATAATGGGTGTCAAGCAAAGTTATCACCTGGAAGCTACGTAGTACGTGTCGATCAAATAATTTTGAAAAAGAAAATCCTAGAAATTAAATATGTTTTTATACATGCGTCAACATCACATATATCACGATTTCTAATTGATAGAATCTTGTAACACTTAGTATAACCGATAATCATAGCACAATTTATCAATGGTAAATACCCCACACGTTCTTAATATGGTTATCATTTCGTTCTCTTCTTCTTTTTTTTCTTTTTTTTTATTTTTTTGACTTGATTTGGGGGGTTTTAAGATTTTTTTTTTTTCATTTCTTTTATCACATATGTTTAGCCATTTGCAAAATAATCATTGGACATGTTTTTACTTTTTTTGACTAATTTTATTTTCACTTAATTTAAAAAAAAAAGTATTACCAAAAAATATATTGGTTTTTTCATTTTGTCAAAACTACAAGGGATTCTTTTAAGTAAAATAGCGAAGGCCAAAGAATATCTAGACATATGGATAGACCACCAAGGATATCTTCTTAGCCAATGCACTTGGTGAGAGGATTTGTTTTCAAGGAACCCTATCATTTAAAGGAGCCATGATTTGCCAGAATGTACAGAGCATCTGTCTCTAAGACATTCAATTCAAACACTAGTTGACAAAAATTCTGAAAATAAACAAATGTAACACGTCCTCAATGTACAAACAAAAATCACTCACAAGTGGGTATCATAAGAAACGTATTGTTTGATTCTCTACACATTATATTTGGATGATTGTAAATACTTTGAGTTCACGTAACAACATGCGCATTCTGAGTCTACGTAACAGCCACAAGTTCAAGAAAATTTGCATAATGTTATCAATGTTGTATACCCAACAAAGCTGAAAAGACTATTACAAGTCGTAAAATAGATTACACGATACATTTACAATGAATTATCTCCATGTAAATGTATTCATTAAAGAATCAACCGGAAAAATAATAAAACTTAGGCAACATTCATCACCCTTGACTTAAAATACGCGTATCCTTCAACCATTCACTGGACATCCTTCAACAACAATCCCTTCGGCAGTTGGGCAAGAAGCCAACGGGCATCCATCTGTGTGGCTTCCCCACCAGTCAAGGCTAACTTGCTCCATTCCCAAACACAAATAGAGTAATACCCCCATAAAGGCTAAACCAGCATCGAGCGCCCCAGATAGTGCATAATTGTGACGACTCCACCAATTGCGATAATATCTATAAGCAACAAAGCCTGACATAAAACCAATAAAGATCCAGCTGGTGTAGTTGACAGCAGTAGCAGGAGGCATATTAATGGTTGCACCTAAGAGTACAGGAGCTGTAATAAGTCTAATCCAATGCTGGTTTGGGAAAGCCTTATGTGCCAGCCAAACAAGTAGAGGAACTACAGCCCCAAATAAGAAAAACCAGTTGATGGCAGAGTAGTAACCAAGATCTCCAAAAATTCTACGGGGCCCAATCAGGCCCCAGATAACCGAAGCATCATAGAAGACGTGGTCACCTGGGCAGGTCCATGGGCTAGCAGGAGGCAAAAGGGCCCTATCACATATGTCTGGGATGGTATCCATGAGCCACCATGCTGTTCCTATATGCACCAGTGCTGATATTAGAGTACCAACTACCTGACATCAGGATCATCAAAAGAAAGATTAAGCATTAACGTATCCCCAACGTCTCCAAGCCCACCAGAGACCAAATATCTAGAATTATTTAATCGCGTTCCTTGTTTTGGAAAAGCCACATGGAAACTAACCTGAGCCATGAACATTGCTCGAGGGGGGATCTTCATGTAGTGACCAAGTTTGAAGTCTTGCAGAAAGGTGATCCCTTGTTTCATACTGATATATCCATATACCTTGAAGCACATATTAGCAACTGGGTATCCTGGATACAAATACCCAATAATGTACTCCGTAATCACATTCAAGCCTGGCATCTATTAACCAACAACAGATTGCTTATGTCAGAATAGCAGCACCTTCTTATAGTGTTGCAAGATAGTATCCATGGTTAACTAATTTCAATCTACCTAATATGGGTATAACAAGAACATAAACATTTCAAAATCTTAAAGCAAATACATCTATACACAGATAATTTGATGACGCGAAAACAAACCTGTTCAGAATTTCAGAATGTACACGTTAGTTTACCTGGTTTGTTGTGGCAGTGATGACTCCAATTGGAAGGGTGAACAATAAAGCAAGGCCACATGCCAGCAAAACGCCCCACCATGGTAACTGAAGCTGATCATTGTAGTACTGACATGTAAATATTGTTGCAGAAATGTTTATCAAGAGAATGCATGTGAACCACCACTCAGGAACTTGCTTGTATTTTCTCATCAGTTTTGTGTGCACATCCATCTTGTTCTCTTGGAAGGCGGATTTGCTTTGCTGCCATAATTCTCTAAAGTCTCATAAAGTGAGTTCAAAAGAGAGATCAATTTAATAACCAGGGTTTGGTATTGCCCCTTACCAACACAATTTTGACTTAATAAATTACTAGTATGGAAAAAAAGAATTTAGGCATGACTACCTCCTGGCGTTTGGTGATCATGAAAAGAGTTTAATAAAGCAACTACTTTTGAATTGCCATTGTTAAATAGGTATCTATTTTTCTGAAAAGTTAAAAAATAGCCACTGCAAACACTGAGAATTCATTGTAGATGCCAAAAGCCCGACCTCTATCATTTTTGCATTCAAACTTTCACCAAACAAAACTGTCTAATAAGCATCCTAGTTGCGAAAACAATAAACATGCTTGCAGATGTCCTTTGACCTTGATTTGAACCATCATGAAGCAATACTACATAAGCATCTAAGCTATTATATAAAACACTTGGAAGAACAATATAGAATTAGTCCACCACAAAGCATGTGACTATCGCAGCCTAATGGTATGACTTACCTGCCATGGAAGAGGAAGACGTGGACAATCGTGGCAGTGAGGCAGGCAAAACTGACAGCATAGGTCATAGCAAAAAATGTGCTCAGATAAAGACGGCCCTCAAGCTCATATGCATCTAAATCAATGTGGAAGTTTGGGTCTAGAATGGATGAGATATTGTACTTTTGGCCACTAGAGGTGAAGAGGTCATCCGAAAATATGGGAAAGGTCTTCGCTTTGTAGATATTGCTCCAGTATGCAATTGGTGTAATGACATACATGATAAGTACAAAACCAACAGCAACATTGACAGTAGCAAACCATGGACTGGCAAGTGGACTCCCAATGTAAGAGGATATACTGGACCAATCAAATCCAATGGCACCAATCCCAAGACCATGAAGTCCTGATCCTAGCTGTTGGACTAGAACAGATGTAGGGAATATCCAACATAGCCAGGAAAGGGAAGTTAGCATTGGAAAGAGGTATCCTGGAAAGACATAGTAAGCAAAGCTGCATATGAAAGCAATGAGGAAGAACTGGTTTCGGGTCAATCCATCTTTAGGCCTCTCCTCTGTCTCATGTAATGCCCTGCCAATTTCATGATTTATTTGATACAGATGAAAATGGAATCCAGACTGCATCATCAAATCTAGCAGTAGTAAGTAATTGTTAAACATTTCTTAGCATTGTCTAGCTTGACTGCTAAAAGAAAATTTTGGATGTAAGACATAAAAGCAAACTGAAAGGCCTAATATTCCCCTTTGCTGTACACTAATTACAACAGTATCTAAAATCTAAACCACACTACACACATTCCCATCAAGATGGTGAACATATATCACATAAACTTAGCTTGGTGTAAATATCCTTTAACCAGGTACGGCTCAATGACTTAGTGAATCTATAGGCAAGTTCATTCTCAGACTTGCGTAACGTCATATCCATTCTCCACTCAACACCTTTACTCGAAAAAAATGACGTTCAACTTCGATGTGCATAGTTTTTCATGAAATTCAGTATTATAAATAATTAGAATAACCAATTTCTTAAAAAAGTGATGCAACCGTGTTAAACATGAACTAATAAACACAAATGCAGACACAAGACGCAGATATGACATTTCTCAAAAAAGTTGGACACAAACACATCATAAATAATTGTGTTTTGGTGTATTAAATTTATAATCTATGACAAATACAGAAATATTATAATGCTATTAATTAGAAATTCATACGTAACTACAATGATTACTTTCATCTTCTCAATTTTTCTTATTTAGTGGAACTTTTTTGTATCTTTAGTTTTCATTAGTAAATTTCAAATACAATTTAAACATGATTATTTTTACTAATATATTCTTTCATAGTATAAAATAGTTATTCATTAAACTTTTAAGCTTTGTTAATTACATGTCAACATGTTTATATTTTAGTAGTAAACACGACCAAAAAATGTTTCGTACCAGTCACCACATGATTGTTGGATACATGTCCGGAAATAAAATTTTATTTTTTAATTATGGACACGAGTAAAGTAGTATCAAAATTATGTCCAGGTGTGCCCAAGAAGTGTTGGTGTCTGAAATGTATATGTCACCTTTGAAAGAATGTCCATGATTCTTAGATGTTAACTCACTAATATGTGAGTCATTGCCCTATACTAAGCTTCTACACTAGATTGTCCCACCACTACCTATTTCTTAATTTTTTGTGTAACCAAATTGATTACCTCATAAAAAGGGTATAATATCCTATGGTAGATAGTTTATTTGAGGGGTGAACCAACCCAATCTGTATCCATGAAACTTTCCAATTGAAGGTGCCCGTTTGACTAATACAAGAGCTCGAGACGAAGAACTCGTATGAGTTCACCAGATATTGGATAATACAAAAAAAAATAGTATTCTAATGTAATACTCGGGGAGCCCCATAAATTGACTTATTACACTCACTACATATGATATATCTAGACCAATTATAGTAAGATGATTCAACTTTTCAGCTATACTAGAGTATTGTTCAGGATCTCCAAAACGTGGATCGTCATTCATTGTGAGTTTATAGTTTGGATCCACAAGAACACAAAATAGTCAACCGCCCAGAAGCTTAATTTCTTCTAACAAATCAAGTACACATTTCATCTCAAACAAGCTAATGCCTTTTTTAGACATAGTAATTTGAATACCAAGAAAGTATCTAAGTTTGCCTATGTTGCAAAAACATTTTCAACTTGGACATGCTACCAGAGTCCTAACATGTGAAATGTTGAATGACCTCTCTGGCATTGATGAAGGCAAAAATCTAACATTGTCATTGAAAACTTTCTAAACAACGCTCGCAAAAAGTTTTTCAACCAAGCTTTCTCTAACTTGCATACCTAACCCCCAATATTCCCCTTCAGCAATAGACCCACATTTTGCTCCATGTAAACCTCTTTTACTAAATCATACATGCGAGCAAGCACTCTTACCATCTAATTGGAATAAAGGTCAATCAAGGTTGGCAACAAGAGAAGTCAAGATCCAAACAAACGCAATCTCGCCAATCTTGGAAAAACTCTTGTATAGTTGACACCATATATTTACTTTTTTGGCAACTAAACAAGAAACCCCCAAAATCATTCAGATTAAATTGGATAGTATATAACCCAACAACAACCAAAACTATTTACCTAGAGACAAAGAAACCAGATCCCAAGTATTATTAGAGAATACCATAAGTGATAGATTGATACATCTTCAATTCGTCATAGACAACCACAATCTTTGAGAAGCACTCCGCCAAGCTCGAATCTAGGCCTATCTTTCATAACGAGTTTTGTCATTCACAAATGATCTCTTCAAAGTCCAATTAATAATAAAATCATGTGGAGTAAGTTTTTATGGACATTGAATTATCATTATCGCTGGTCAATGGCTTTTATGAACTTCAACAAGTTCAGCTAGGGATGGCAGTGAACCACAGAAAAATAAGAATTCGTTCAAACCCGCCCCATTCAGAACAGAAATGGACCATACATATTGGACGGTAAACGTATATGAAATACTCGTATAAGCTCCTACGGTCTTCCCCATCTTACGATTTGTTGAATTCAATTTTTATATGTACTTCATTTTCGAAGCTAATGGGAGTGATTAAGCTTTAGATTTCACTCCTAGCTTTACATTCAATCTTTCTCTTAGACTGTGTACATTCCCAAAATTTTCTTTGAAAAACGATTCGAAGGTGAAAATTTTTATTAACAAATACAAAATATTTTCTCAGACAATTATTATATTTTTTATGTTTTTTTTAATTTTTTAATTAAATTACATATGTGAATCTAGATGGAAAATAAGTTTCTATTTTACATGAAGCCTAATAAGATTGGACCTTTATTGTTCCAATGATGATATTATTTAGAATGTTGTCATAATGAATTATGTTGTAGACAAGCTTTTAATTTTATTAGTATTATTATTGTTATTTTTGCTCAATTATACAAGGATTATGTTAACTTATTTATTTATTTTTTATTTTGACCATATCATGTAATACATACATGCATTATGGAATACAACTTGTACTTAATTGTTAAATTTTTTTTTAAAATAATAGAAATTAATTGTAATGAGCCGGGGGGGGGGGGGGGCGAGGGGGAGGGCAAAGGCAAAGCAACACGGAGACTGAGGTGAAGGCAGAGAAGAGTGGCAGGGGTTGGGGTGGGACAAAGGTGGATAGGACTTACTCTAGGAGTGAACCGGAGGTGAACGAAATTTTTTTAAACAAATATGAGAGTGGATACTACTCCCCCGCCCTCGCCCTCAGGCGCAAAAGAATATCTATCCCTCCTTTAAAAAGTTTGAGAATCATTTTTCGAGTTTTTTTTTGGTATTCTATCTCCACTTTTTCACCAATAAATACGTATCATGTGTAAATTTTTTTCATTTTCTTACTTTAATATTTTTTAAAATAATTATAAAACATTCAAATTAAAATAATCGCGGTCTGAATCAATTCTGGGCACGATACTATGTGATGCCCTAGCCTTAACCCCCAATCAAATATCTCCATTTACTATCATTATTTCACACTAAGACAAAACGCCGAGAAACACAGACCACTGCTTCAAAGTTTTTTTTTTTTCTTTTGGGCAACGTTCAAACTTCAGCAATAATAAGAAAATATGTATATATATATATATAGTAGTATCACGTACAATTATTGTCATTCACCAAATATAATCAGTAGATAGGGACGTACCTGAATAGCGAGACCTGAACTAGGTCCTGAGGCCACCACATCGCCGCCGGCTCCACCAAGTACCGCCGGAAAATCCCAGCCCACCCAAAGCCCAACACCTGCGTCGTTATCACAACAATCAACGATACCCAAAAGGTCAACTTCTTCTTATAAAATATCTTAACAGCGCTAACTATGTGAATCGAGTATGGATTTCCGGCGCCACAGTTCGCGAATATCGTGATCAGCACGTGCTCCTTCACATTGAAAGGCCCGGGATTCAATGTGAATTCCCATCTTTGACCCTCGAAGAACACTCTCTTCGTGATCTTCGATGCCATGAGGTGTCCCAGTGGAACCACAGCGATTTGAGCCGAGATCGATGTAATTGAGAGAGGTTCTCTGCGGTACCAGAAAAATTGATTGAGGTAAGAGAGAAGAACACAAGCTAGAGTTCCTAGAGTCCATAACCGGAAAGTCACAACCGGAAGGGTTGGGTCGTCGGTTACCGGTACGGTGAGGGCCACTTGCTCGATCGGAGAGTTCTCATCGTCGGAGGGTTCGTACGGTAACGGAGGTGAAGACTGAGAACTGGTGGCATTGTTTCGGTGCTGTTCCGAGTTGGGTACTGCACGAATAATAGTAGTGGTGTTAAATGCAAAAAGTTAAAAAGTTTTGGGTACATGAGCATCAAAATTAGAAGTTGGAGCAACGTCCTGAAATCAAAAGTTCTTACTGAATGGAGCTGTGATTTCGTCACTTTCTTCCATTATTTCTACCTCGGGCCTATGTGATCTCTCTCTCTCTCTAATTTTCTCTGCCTAACTTGCAGACATGGTTGATGATTGTTGATGCGATCCCATTAGACGCCAGCCTCTGTCCGTGAGTTTTTTGTTTGAACTAAACCTCAGTCCGAAAGTTGGAGTGACATTTTTTTTAATATATATTTTTTAAAATTTTTTTTAGATTTAATTATATTAAAAGTCTCTAAAGTTTAATATTTTAATTATATTATTTTAATATCTGTTGTATGGAATATATTTTTATGTAAACCCTCAAACAGACAGCGTTCAGATTTCTAATGATTTTTTTATCATAAACTTATCACGCATTACTTAAATATGAATAAAAAAATAATTTGAATAACTCTTCACCAAATTTTTACACAAATTTTAGTTAAAAAGCTATCCAAATTATACAATTTTAATTGTAAATTATCCAAACTTTAGTCAAGAGTTATCCATATTCCACATTTTTTGTCAAAAGTTACTAAAATTTTAGTCAACAGTTATCCAAATTATTTTTTTGTCATATTTAAGTATCGCATGATAAATTTATGATAAGAAAATTATTAGCAATTTAAATGTTATTCACTTGAGGGGATCACAAAAAAATATATTCAATATTTCAAAAACTAAAATAATGTAATTAAAATATTAGAGACTAAAATGAGTTAGACTCTATACTTTTAGAACCTTCAATGTAATTAACTCTCTATTTTTATTTCTTGTAAATTATTTATTATAAATTTAAGTCATCTCATTTTATATAAGTAGATAAATTGAGAGAAAATCGATTTAGATGGTTCGAATCTATTTCTAGTTAACCTACTTCAACGCTTGTTAAAAAAAGAAAAGTGATGCAATAGCTATTCAACATAAAGCATTGCCCTTGAAAAAAATACACTGATAAAAGAAGATTTATGCAATTAATTCTAAAAATATTGGGACAGCTTTTTTAAATTGAATTGACTTGATTCGCTTACTAAAATAATATATGATAGACAATTTGTCAAAATAAATAAATAAAAGAAAATATTCATGAAAATCTGAATTTATAAGTTATGCCCTCTTTTTTTTTTTTTTTTTTTGTCATGTGGAATAGGTTTAGATTGAATGCCTCAGCATCAATGGGCTTAGAGTTATTTATTTGTGACTATGTATATGTTCCAATATCAGGGGAAGATACATTTCACTGGTGCATGACCTTTAAAGTCTTTGACCTACAAAATTGACTGACAAAATGGATAAAAAATATAAAATCTCTAAAATACCCCCAACCTTTCATACAATTCTCTCTCTTTTTTTTTCTCTACCTACCCAAAGCATTGAATCACAAATCCTACATAGTACATAGACCTCGCAAAACCCTAACCCCCTTTCCCCAACTCCGGTGGCCCCTTCTAATTCTTTCCTAACTCAATTCGTGTGTGTATACAAAAACTCTGTTTTTCAAATGGGTGTTTGTCTAGGTTTGAGGTCTACTGTTAAGAGGAGGGATAGGTTTTATCGGTGATGGTGGGGGTGGATTTTATCGGTGGAAGGAGGGAGTGCACTTGTTTATTGGTGGGGATGGGTTTCAGCGTAGAACAAGGTTTTGTGATCACTAGATGGACTTTCATGAGAAGTTGAATATTTCTAGGTTATTTTTAGAACAAATGATTGAGATGAGTATAATTTTGTATTTTTTGTTGAATTTTAGATCACTTGAAAATTACTTACTTGACAAATTTTTGCTATTTTTAACGGTGGACAACCAACGGTTGGAGTTAGTTGAAAAAAGTTCAAATTTTAAGGGGATAAATTGTTGAAATCGAGACTTGAGAGAGTTGATTATAACATGTCCTAAACTTGGATAGGATTTTATACTTAGCCCTTTTTTAAATCAATAATTGCTTGTGCCCACCCTTAAAATAGCATAAACACAACCGAAAGTTATTGCAAGTTAAATAATTTTTGTTAAACTATTCCATGAGCATGTGCTATTGATTTGGTTCTACTAGTAAGCCCTAAATTCAAAGCACCAAAACTTTCATTTACTTGAAGATGAAGTCGGGATTGGAAGTATAGGTCTGCTCGACTCAGTATGATAAGTCTTTAGCAAGAAGAACCCGATAGAATGTGCTTTCAATCACAAATTTAATTGAAAATGCATAGTTTACATATGTAATAGAGACAATGGAATTAGATTCAGAAGGAAAAGAAAATTATTATTTTGTAACTAATTTGAAAATCTAATTAATTACAGTTGTTGAGTTAAAAGTGGATTTTATCAGATATTAAAACTCAAAATTAATTTTATATCAACATTGAGTAGGGTTCTAATTAAATTTTAAATTATATCCCACAACATTTGTTTCGGAAGAAATTAAAGTCAACTAACCCATTTTGACGGTATAAAGTATGAACCCTCCAACTCGCATGGTTGAGAGTTTGTAGAGTTTGGCTTATTGGTTTTTTTTTAGATTTTTGTAATTCTAGTATGATATTGGGTAAAATATATTCAAAACATACTCTAGGCATACGAGTGCATTGGGTGACGTGAGGCAGTAGGAAATGGGGAGAAAGAAAGAAAGAAGAACAGAAAAAAAAAAAAAGAAAGAGAACGAAGGGAAAAATAACGAGACATTAGTTTCAAAATTTGATGGTAATTTTAATCCCGAATTCTATAAAATTTGTATAAGTTTCTCTTAAAATGATGGTAATTAAATGATTAGTATCAATTGGTAATTTGAGGTACAAAGTATTATATAATATATTTCTGTGTTTTAATGTATTTACAAAAAGTATTCTTTTGATTGAAAAAACAAATTATAAAATGGTTGTGCTTTTCAGTTAGTAGGTACTCATGGGCCCGATTCAAATCAAACTCAGACTACAAATGAGGACTAACAAAAACTCAGTCACCCATCAGACAGTCAGAAAGGCTTGTAAAATGGCTTTGGAAGAAGGTTTTCAAGAAGTACAAATGGACTCTGATTCTAAGGTTCTCATTGATTCACTTACCAAAGGGCAGGAAACAACTCTGAGAGAGATTGAACCCATCCAGAAGGACATATGGGGATCTGCACATGAACATACGTAGATCACAGCAAACAATGTAGCATACTCTTGAGACACAACAAAAGCGGAGAGTGGATCACCAATCCTCCGCCATAGATTATGGAGCTTATTCAACAGGAAACTCGACAAGGAATAGGATAGTTCTTCTTCTGTTTTTCTATTTTTGTTTTTTTTTTTTTTTTTTCCAATTCCTTTGTTTTATTTACTTTGCCTTCATGGTTAATATAATTAGAGCTGATAATCGTGTTGTATCGTATTAGGTTTGCGATTTCGTGTTAAATATTAATAAATCTTAACTTAATCTATTTAATTAATTGTGTCGTGTTAATTGACCAGTTTATTTTCATGTCAGGTTTGTGTTTATATTCGTGTTGACTCATATAAAATTTGAATAAATAACTTAACACTAAGATTAGTCTAAGATTCTATTATTAATTAATTGAATCCATGTTCATATGTTTTCTATAAATTTTTTTAAAATTAACTTAATAAACATAACAATAATAATAAGTAAAAATATATTTTTTGTACAATAATTATATCAATGCTTAGTAAATAATTAGCATTTTTTATAATATTAATTAAACGTATTAATTGTGTCATTTTTATATTATTCGTATTTAACACTAGTCATTTACAGGTTCGTGTGGAGAAATAATTAATCACAACCCACTTATTTTGTGTCGAGTTCGAGTTGTGTTGTCGTTGTATCAAAAATTGTCACCTCTAAATATAATGATCCCGTATTTCTTGACACCAAAAAAAACACATAGGGGAAAAAAATCACATTTAAAAGTTTTAATTGAGCTCTAATAAATTATAAATGCCAATTATTGAAATGGTATTTGATTTTCTAAAATAAAATTATTCAAATTTAATTTATTAATCTAATTTACTAACTTGATCTAGTATAGTTATCGGATTGACATGAGATCTCATCCAACATTAAAATTAATTTCAAGTAGCATTACTCTTCTTCTTTAACTTCAATTTTGTATCATATGCATGTTTTATCAAACCTAATTTTTTGACATAATTCATTAAAATCATTTAATTGATAATGAATTACACCAAATATTAAAATTTGAAATTAATTCAATGATTACAATAAAATTACAACATTAATTCAATAAATTATACCAATGCATGACTACATCTTTTTCTTTGTTATCGACTAAACTTTGATCACTTACAACCTCACGCTATTTGCAGGATTGTGGCCGGAACCCCAACCTCTCATTCCTCAAATCATACTCAACATAAAAATTCTGCATCTGATAATTCCCCAAAATTATCGCCGGCCCACCACCACCACCAGAAGCCCCTTCAACCACATTATCCGTCACCACCGTCAGACACATCGCGTCAACTCCACCAACCACCGAAAAATAATTCTCCAATGGCAACGCCATTTCTGCACCACCCTTGAAATGAAACCTCACTGCCGGAAAAGCCACCGAATTTTGGCTGGAGAAGTTAAAACAAGGACGTAAACCCGTCTGAAACTCCACATCTTCAGCTCTTTTATAGTTCTTCATTTGCCCAGTGAACGACTTGATTACTAGCTCAAACACATTGGAGCTTAGGTAGGTGAAAGTAGTGCCGGAGTCGATAATAGTCCCGCCATTGCCGACAGAGTCTGGCGATAAATATTTGTATGGGATTTTCACCTTATGTCCTCCGACGGTAATTTGTCGGAGACCCACGTAGTAGTAAACGGAAAAAGCATGTTTTCCAGGCACCACCGGGTTTTTTATCAGTGGGGTGTAGCTTAAATCTCTGGTTTTCTTGCCGGAATCCGATTCACTGTCAAGAACCAGCGAGCTGATTTTTTTGGTGTCGTCGAATTTATGAGACAGAAGACAGTAAGAGAATTTCTTGACGCCTAGTTGAGTGGGTAGCGAAGAGAGTCCACGGCCAAAGCCTGCAATTCCGGCGGGTTGATGGGAGGAAAACAGAGAGCAGCCGACGAGAAAATCTTGCACTTTCCTTCCCGGAAAATTTAGAGTTTCGACGAGAGCAATTCCACCGGTGGAACCCAACCCATAAAGGATTAGATATGGAGGACAAATCTGTGTACAGTTTCTTGAATTGGGTTCACAATCTGGGCATCGAGACTGAGAATCAGTGTTATTGTGAATCCAACCACATTTGGGGTTTAAGCAACCAAGAATCTTCACAGATGAAGATAATTTAGGAATGAAAGATGGAATTATTGGCGGATTGGAATCAGAAACTGAACAGTTCTTGCAGATATAGCGGGTGGTACATGGGAACCAGACGAAGTTACTAGCAGTGTCCACGATGAATGGTATTGTTTGAGGTGGGCTACCAAAGCTGAGAGAAATGGAGTAACCTCCATAGCTATGAGAGGAGACAGAAGTGGTGAAGACGGGGGCTTTTTGGGGATTTTTGAGGTGGTGAGCTCTGGCTAGGGAGATTGATGCTAGGTGGGTGAGGTTTTGGTATAGATCTGAAGATGGGTTTGTGTTGAATTGTGAGAGAGGGATGGTAATGCTGGTGGGAGATGGAGAAATGGAAGGTAAGAGGAGGGAGAGAAGAGAGAGAAAACAGAGGAATGAAGTAGAAGAAGCCATAGTTTTCTGCGAATTATGAGAATTAGATCAAATGATAACACAATGAGATTTGGCTATGGTGTTGAATGTGGCCAAAGAGCACAACTGTCACTCTGCATGTGATTGGGTAGTTGCAGAGACAATAAATGGGGCAAAATTGAAGAGTAAGCTGCTAAATTGAGGAGCAGGCGTGTTCAAATTTTTGACTACTTCCAAATTGTGATCGTACCGAAAGAATTAAGGAGGCCAACGAAACATCTTTTAGTATTCTATAAAAAATTATAAAAAAAATACAAAATACATACAAAAAATTAGATATATGTTTTTATTCCTGTTGTGGTAGCTATTTTTTTTGATATTATAACAACGATAAAAATAATCACAAATATAATATTGAAATTTAATCCCTAAATTGATGCGGAAAATATGATCGACAGTAATTCCCATTATTGACAGGACCACTTCCCAAGTCAATGGCTATGAGTCGTTGATAAACTAAAAAAATAAATTAAGTTTATATAGCATTTTTTTAAATGAATTTGTGAACAATGCAATAAAGGCCCAAATGAAGTGTCGGAAAGTCATTTTTAGGAGTGGTTTAGTAGTTAGGTCTCCCATTTGATAATTTAAATATTTTAGGTTTAATTTTTTCTTACACCTCTTTAGGATTAGTCATTCTTGTCACTTTTAGGAATATGTTCTAGACTAGTTTAAATCACGTTAGTCAGTCGCTAAACTCAAAAAAATAATCGACAAATGCCGAAACACCCTGTAACAAAAAAAAAAAACGTCGGAATGCTACATTTTGCTGTCATATTTCCCTTTTTTTTTAACTACATATGGCAATTTATTATTATATTAATTTTTTAGTAATTTATTATCATATGATCATGATCAATGTTCACTAATATTAATCCAAATAAGATCAATGACTATAATTTATTTTTTTTGGTATCATATTCTTATCCATGCAATATATAAAACCACTTAAATACAATAGATTTCTTCATTCTAATAATGCAAAAATCGAACTTTTTATATTATTGGTATAAAACCACTTAAATATAATAGAATTGATTTAAATCCGTTATAGTTGATCTACCATTAAGCCAATTGAGTAAGTATATAGAGTGGATCTTAAACCGACTAATCACCTTGCCATCTTTTTTTATAAAAAAAAAAAAGGTTTTTCCCTGGAAAATGTTGAGAAAAATTCACGGGCATCCGTAGTAATTAGACCCACAAGATATGTCCCCCCATCAATTCATGGGGACCACACAACATTTGGTCTTTTTATCACCAAATTGCATTTGGTCACGTGCACCTGCCATAATTTAGACATAATTTATTGATCAAATTTATCCACATAATAAATTATTATCATTAAATTGACGATGAATCTCAATATTTATTACAATCCGCTATCAATTTACGAGTTATGTCCTAGTTCAACAAATTATGTCCAAGTAATACTTTACTTTTGAAAATCTATATAATAAAACATAAGTGCGTTTGAATTTTATCTCAGTCATATTTTCTCTCTCAAAACCATCTTCAATCACTTATTTCATTCATCATCCTTTTGTCAGACTCAAACGTCAAATCACATCACTTATTTTTATCACATATTTAATTATTTATATATTTTCTCTCTAAAAATATCACACCACTCATTTTTATTATATATTTAATTAATTTGTAGTTAATATATTTTAACAAAATTTAATATAGTGGGATCGATTTTTTTGACGCTCGAATTTTATATTTTATCGTGCCTTCAGGCATGAGTTATGACTAGTATATGAATAATATTACTTGGACTTAATTTGCTAATTTGATTTATCGACCTAATTCATTACAACCGTTAGATTAGTAATAAGTTCTCATATTGGATGAGGTCTACTATCGATCTAACAATTATAGTAGATTAGGTCAATAAATTAAGTCTAAATGACATTATTGAAATTATTATATTCATGAAAGTTTAACTTTAAAAAAGTTTATGTTAGACACTAATTCTTATGCCTAAAATTTGTTTGTTCAAACACTTGCGTGTCTTATCATGAGCAATGTTATGCTGACCAAATCAAAACTTAAATTTTGTATCCCAAATATATGTGCATCACACATATCACTTTGTGGGTCCCAAAAAATCACCAGTTTCATTCGTTGCGTGATGCACATGTATTTGAGATACAAAATTTAAGTTTTAATTTAGGTAAGATAGCATTTCTCGTATGTCACAAGGTATGCCAAGCTTCCTGTGTTAATTGCTTGGCCTAAGAGAGTGCAACCAAAGTAATTTTTTTTTTTTTTTTTTGACTATGTTCCTAGTATGTTCATCTCATCAAGGATTTGACATGATTCACATCAACCTCAACCCAATATTGGTGGAACTTTTTTCTCCAACACGTGTTTTTGTCTCTAAGAACTTGTTTGGTAGCGTTTTTATTTTCGTATTTTCAAAAGACAAGAAAATATAGACAATTTTTATTTTGTTTTGTGCTAAACACCGAAAATAAAAAACATATTTGAGAATCATTTGTGTTTACCAAATTATGAAAATAAAAAAAAAACATGTTTGATAATTTATTCAAATTATGTTTGGTAACCCAAACCCACACAAACAGACCACACCCCTTTCTCTCCCCATATTTTCTGTCACTTTGTCTTCTCTACAACATAAAAAACACACCCACACACAGTGAAATCACACCCCACCCACCCAGAATTCACCCCCCCCCCCCCAATAATCCACACACACAAAGGTAGCGATGGAGAGAGAAGGGCAGATAAATCACAGACAGAAATTTGACACACACATCAATGTAGATCTACACACCCAAAACAATGGAGGCAACGATGGAGAGAGGGAGAGACAACGATGGAGAGAGAAGGGCTGCGATAGAGTGCGATGGAGAGAAAAGGGTAGCAATGGAGGCAGAGGTAGCGATGGAGGTAAGATAGAGGTAGAGGCAGCGATGAAGACAGAGGCAGAGGCAGAGCCATAATACCCACAACATTAACATTTTGTGTTTAATACCAACACACAAATCTTACATGTTGTTATACTCGGTATGGTATGTCTACATGGCCCGTTACATTAGAAGCTTAAATATTATAGCAAATAGCTAGATGGGATTACACTATACTCGACCACCGACAGGTTAAGTCGAGTGAACAGGACTTTTGAATCTCATTAACTATTACATGTAGGAGCCGAAAATTTGAGTAAAATATAAAGGAAGGTAACTTCAATATATTTTTTCTTCATTTTCATTCTTAGTACGTCATCCACCGATGAATCAAGTGGGACTATTATTTGTAAATAGGCCCCAACTCATTAACGTAGATGATATGTCAAAAAGAGAAAAGAATATATATATATATATAGAAACATAAAGTTTGTGCCTACAGAAAATTCTTTATTTCTATCACAAAAACTCAAGAGTGACAAACATAACTGAATCAAGCGAAATTTCTTGTATGTGCAATACGAATAATATTTATTACAACAACGAAATTATGTTATCGGTGAGACGTAGTATCACTAATTAATCATAATACATCATGTAAAATAAGTGAATCCCATTATTCTAAGGTGTTAGTTAGTCGATATAGTAGTCATTAGAAGTTACTAAAATAGTGAGATTCAATACACATGTGACATATTATCATTGGTCGATAATATTGGATCAGGTTAGTGATACCACGTCATCACACCATCAGAGTTGACTCCACCCCTAGGCAAGTGAGGCAGTCGCCTAGGGCCCCCACTTGCCTAGGCCCCTATTTGTATCTGTCTCACAAAATTATATAATTGAATTTTACAAAGAATGTAAAATAATTTGGATGTTACGTGAAACGATCAAAAATTGTTTACGAATATTTTACTTTAAATCATAAATATATGTACATTCAAAAATAAGAAAAAAAAAAGTTTACTATATTCTTGTACAAAAAATTCCAAGACTATACTCTCTCATTTTATTTAGAATTTCCAACAACTCTTGTCTATTTATTCAATTTTATTTTCTTGAACTATAATTTTTGAGTTAATTTTGATTTTAATATAATCATTTACATAATATATTTATTTTGCAAGTTATTTTTCAGCTTAACATACTAAAAGATATGAATTTAAATATTTAAAATTTAATAATAAAAATAAATTAATCATTCATCTAAAAATAACTTATAATCCTATTTAAAATTTATGCTTAGGGTCTCAAATATTCTTGAGCTGACCCTACCCACCGCTATAATGAATATTTTCTCGTGCGAGGACTGGCCCCCGTGATGTACATAGTTAATGAATTGTTGTTGATAGGTGAATTTATGAATTTCACATTCAAATATATCTCAAATGGTAAGTCCGGACTCCTGAACCAAACACATAATGGCTTATAAAAGCTTGAAGTCCATTGTGCTGTCTCAACTGTCCAAAAATTCTCTGTTTTAGTGTTTAATAATGTTTGTTTAAATAAATTTTTAACAAAAAAAGTGATCTTGTCAACAAAAATAAAATTATATTTAAGAAATATTTTACAAATACAATAAAAATACTAAAGATGTGTTTAAGGCAAGAGGAAAAGATCAAGCCTTTAATTGTTTAGGAGAATTTAAAAGAGACATTAGTGCGGAGATTCTGATTAAAAAATGAGACATTTCACGTCTTTGGAGAGTTTTTTTATTGTGTTAGGTCTCTGACATATCATTGTTTTGTCTTTATTTAACCCAATTGGTGTGTTTAGTTGGGTGAATAGAGAAATGAAACGATGGAAAGTGAGAGCGATGTATTTTCTATTTTTTAAGGGACAAATCTTTTTTTTCTTCTTCTTTATGTTTGGTAAGAGGGATAAAAAATAGGAATGATTGATTTTTTTTGTGTAACAATGTAGGATAAAAAAGTAAAAGAATGAAAAAAGTATAGATGCATATTTTATCATTATATCTATATCTAGTATTAATGTATACATAATATGTAATATATGAATATGATATATGTATATATTAAAGAATATATAGGTAAATTACACCCAAACTTTTTAAAGTTTGTAGACGTATAATATTTAAATTCATGAAGTTTAAAATGTTATTCTTAGATAAAAAAAAACTCCAATCAAATATAGAATATCAAATATTTTAAATTTTATAATTAAAATTCATGTTCTATTGTAATATTTATCGAAATAAAATAAAAAACCAATTTTTTTCTTAAAAAATTGTAGTTAATATATAATTATACTATCTAAATTTTCATTTATAATTTTATTTCAATAAATGTCATAATAGAACATAAATTTTGATTATAAAATTTAAAATATTTAATATTCTATCTTTACTTAATATATTTTTTGTTTAAATATAATATTTTAAACTTTAGGGAGACGGGAGGCACAAGTCACATGGGTGCCCATGTGGAACACTTGAGTTGTCGGTTTCAGCTCCGAGCTGGTAAAGACAAATGACAACCAACCTCCACAGCGCACTACTAAATCTTACCATCTGCTACTGCTAGGGTCCAATTCATACACAATTTGATTTAGGTTGACACTTTATTATTTTTTTGTCGTCTAGTTTGCAAATTGAGTCTTGTCCTGGGCAATAATGGAGGCTGGTAGCGTATTTCTATCGAATACTCAACTGATTAATCAAATTTAAATTAATATTGGAGTAAAAAACTTAATTTACTACAAAATCTTTTTAATTGACGAATTCAAATTTAAAGAAGAATGAAATGTAGCTATTGAATATTTTAAAGTGTAATGAAATCTAATTCACCATGAGTTGGTCAACGCTAAAAAGATGATGAATAAAAGGAAAAGCGGTTAAAAAGATACGCAGACAACTTTCTTATAGTATAGGTCTGATGAGCTGTAAAATTATTGGTGATTTTGAATAAAAGTTTGTCTTCTTTGACTTTAGTCAAAATTTACTCTCCCCTCCCCTTGATTTGATATGAATTTGGGTATTAGATTAGAGAAGATTTTTGAACAATTTTTACTCCAATTTAAGTTTATATATATAAAAAAAAATAGGGTCGAAAATGCTTATTAGTTAAAATTATCCATCTTGGAACCATAGGTGATTTTTGGAAGTGGATTGTGCAAATATTGTGAATCCTATTCGTGTCGAGTTTACTCATATTATTTCGAGTTCGTGTCTTATGTGTGTCGTATATATGTCATTTTTATGTAATTCATGAATCAGAAACCACAAGATTAAATCAAAACCACTTAATCCAACAATTCATAAATACTAGATGTAGGGAGAAAAAAAAAAAGTCCCAAGATTTCGTCATGTCATAATCAAATTATCCATATTTGACACTCAACCTGATTCATTTATTTATTATTGTTTATTGACCATATTGTTGTCGAGTCTAAGTCGATAGAAATAGTTGTTAAAAAATATCACCACGTGCGCAAGAAGTAGGGTTTGCTCAGTCCCTAGCTACATATGATAGGATTGTATATGATATAGCGTGCACGGCATGAAATTTGTAATATCGTCCTATCATCACCCTACCCACCAAATCTTCCCTAACCTTAATAGTACCAGATAATTACCTATTAATGTATTTAAAAATATTTTTTAAAATTTAAATTTTAAAATAATATTAAAAAGTGGTGAGAGTTGTTACAAAGGACACATGAAATCATTTGATTGGAATGAGTTAATTAAATATTTCAAAATTTTAGTAATTAAGCATTTAGGAAGAAAAATCTTTTCAAAGCCTCTCTTCTGATATATATATAAAATAAAAAATAATATAATTCAAATCTTAAAAGATAAACAAAATGATTTTAAATTTTCGCATTTAATATCTCTTTAAATTTTACTATAAAATTAATCCGACGTCTAATAATAATACCTCAAATTTAATACGAAAATAGGCTAAAATGGTGTGTTTTGGATGATTTTTTTAAAGTACTTCTAAAACTCGTAACTTCTCATAAATACTTTAAAAAACAATTAATGTTTAGAACCGTCCCACCACCATTACTACCATCAACACTACCACCACCACCCTTACGCCCACCACCATCACCACTACCACCACCACAACTATGTAACAACCGCACCACCACCTTTGTCATAACCTCCATCATCACCGCCACCACCACCATCACAACCACTACCACTGTCGCCACTCCATCACCCCACCACCACCATCCCCGTTACCACCACTACTGCTGCCGCCACCCTAACACCATCGAAATTGTTTGTAATTGTCCAACCATAACCCCTACAAACCATCGTCGCCACCCCAACCCATTGCCCCACTACCACCCACCACCAATTGTTACCACCGCCACCACCCACCACTATCGTCATCTCATTCTTATATTTATTATCACTAACATCATTTTCCCACTACTACCATCACTTACCACCATTGTTGCCCACCATGACTCACTACCACAACCCATCACCACCTATCATCGTTCACCATTGCCACCAGCCACTATCACCCACCACCAACTTCACCGTTATTCGTCACCACCCATCACACTATCCCCTAGAAGAACTCGTCGTCACTTGCCACCACCACTATCGTCGCCTCACCACCATTACCGTCATCACTCATGGTCGTCACTACCATCATCGTCACCCAAAATCCACCACTACCATCACCGTTGCCACCCACGACTGCCATTATCACCACTGTCACCCACCCCCATTAACACCACACACCCCCACTACAACCAGTGCTTAAATTCCTTTCTTTATACTCTATGTTTGTGATTTGATTTTTAGTGTAAATATAAATATGTTTACGTTGACTATTTTTTTTATTACTTTGTACCTTCAGGTAGGGATAATAAGTAATGTAGAATAAAATACAATACAATTCAAATCTCAAAATATAATCAAAATGACTTTTATTTTTACAGTTGAGATCTCGTTAAAATTTATTTTAAAATTAATCCGACGGCTAATATTAACACCTCAAATTTAATAAGGAAAATAGACTCTAAGGGTATATTTTGGGTGACTTTTCAAAAGTACTTCTAATACTTATAATTTCTCATAAACACTTAAAAAAAATAATAATGTTAGGAACCGTCCCACCATCACTGGTCCACCATCATCACCACTACCACCACCACCAACGCCACCACAACTACCCCCACCCCCATCGCCCCGACCCCACCCCTACCTCTACTATTATCACCTTCGCCACTCCACCATCACCTCTATCACAACCACCATCACAAGTACAATAAAATTCAAATCTCTAAAAATAAATAAAATAATTTTTATTTTTCGTGGTTGAAATATCTTTAAATTTTATTTAAAATTAATTCGATGAATAATATTAACTCCCCAAATTTAATTAAAAAAATAGGCTCCTAATTCCTAAAGGTGTGTTTGGAATAATTTTTTAAAAATACTTTTAAAATTATAACTTATCACAAGTATTTTTAAAAAAAATAGTATTTATAACCGCCCCACCACCACCACCATCACAACTACCACCACCATTGCGCCACCACCCCACCATCATCGTCACTACCACCATCACCATCACAATCACCGCCTACCACCATCGTCCACTGCCACCACCTATTACCATCGTCCACTGCCACCACCTATTACCATCGTCATCTCATTCTTTATTTATTACTATTACAACGATCATCTCACTACCACTGTCACCACCCACCACCACCATCGTTGCCCACCACCAGTCACCGCCAACCACTACTACAATCTACCACCACCCGTCGTCGCACACCATCGTTGTCACCCACCACCGTCGTCACCTACTGTCATCCACCCCTACTACACCTACCACCACCACTCACCGCCAACCACTACTACAATCCACCACCACTCGTCGTCGCACGCCATCGCTGTCACCCACCACCGTCGTCACCTACTATCACCCACCCCTACTACACCTACCACCACCACCACCATTTGCCACCACCCAAAAGCACTTGTCGTCATTCACCACCCCATCGTCACTGCCCACCACCACAACCCCACCATCGCTGCCACCACCGTCATCGCCCCACAACCACTAATGTCAACCACCATCACCGTTGCCCACCACCACCACTGTCATCACTCATGACTGTCTTTACCACCATCGTCATCCACAATCAATCACCACCATCACCGTTGCCTCCCATAACCACAGTCGTCGTCGTCCACCACAACCATCAGTGCCACCTACCATTATTACCACCGTTCACCTCCACTATAAACAGTACTTAAATTCCATTCTCTATCCTCTATGTTTGTGATTCAATTTTGGATGTGAATACAAAGATATTTATTGTTAACCATTTTTTTTATTACTCAACTGGCAAGAACTAGTATATATAGATTAGATCTACTTATGTACAGCCAAAAGTCTAGGAAAAAAATTAAAATAATAAAATACAAAAACTTTCCATGTGCCTTACTGTAATTGGATAAAATTGAAGGTATAAAACCAAAATATACTACCATAATCTAGCAAGCAAAGTTGGAATAAAAAAGGTACAATCTCAATGTTTTTTTAATTCTTTCTCTGCTTTTTTAGTAAATCTGTTTGTGTAATTTTTTGTTCTCTCTTAGTCTGGGTTTGCTCCATCCTTCAAGATTAATCACACATGAACATCACACTCATGCACATATACATGCCTTATTTACACAGTAAGATATATACATAAGATCACTTTTACGATATAATTATCAAGAATCTTTTGGATTTTTGACGAAATAGTTTTTTTTATTAAATAAAAGTATTTTTTTTAAAAAAACGATACCAAATTGAACAATACAAAATTGAGGAAAAGGCTTTACAAATATAATACAAGTACCTAAATAAATGTCTAAAGCAGAGAAGAAATGATAGTACCATTTGTCCGCAGCTCTAAAGATCCGAGGGCATATTACATTATGTCAAAGTGTCTAATGTTCCTTTGCCCTCTTCCTTGCCAAAAACCGTTCCTTAGCAGCAGCCAGAGCATCTTCACTTTTTTTATGATGATCAGGTTTTGGTTGATCACTTATCGGTGGTTCCGCTTCAGTTTTTTCTTCTGAGGAAGCATTGGAAACAGGATTTGCATCATCCAATTCAGACTTTCCCCCAACTGGGGGAGCGCTAGAAGTCTCACCTTGAAGCCCCTTTGCCACCCTAGAGGAGTCCACACGCAAGCTTCTTGATGGAGAAACCACTTCTGATGAATGAACCACCACTTCTTGCTGTTTCTCTGGTTTCTTCAGCTCAGCCTCTCTGGCACCAAAAGCAACATTTTTCGAAAGGTTGAAGTAGAAGTCACTAATGTCACCCTTTTTAGTAACCTGTTAGAACAAAAATTAAATAAGCCAGTGACTGCTTTACACTAATAAATGCACACTAACCAGAAAAATTGCAATCTCAGAAAAGGTAAAAGGATTGAGGTGAAGAAGATACTCTGTTAAAACTACAGCTTTTCATACCAAAAAAAGAGGGAGACAATCTCTCAATAATCAACAATGCATCATCCCTGTTATTTCGGGGTGATAACTCAACTCAACTTTTATCACATTTAATTGGGGTCGGCTACATAAATCATATTTCTTTACTGTACTCTATCAAGGGATATTTTCGATAGAAATAGTTCTATTGTGTACAACATATACTATGACTTAGTTGCTCTTTAGATAACCAATTACCTCCACTTAGCACCACCCCTTCCACTTTTAAACATATTTGGAAATTAGAGTCTTGATGTATCAGATAACCACCACAATAAGCCAAACCTAGTAAAATCATATTCCAAACAAAATTCTAGTTCGAATTTGGTTAAGAAAAAACACCCTAACGTGTCGCATTACTTGTAACAAGCAGTGGCATGAAGGCCCAACATTGAAACTTCCATTTCAAACTCGCAAATACTCAACCTTATTTATAGGGATAAAATACTGTAACTCAAGTCTACTTGATCTTTATGTTTTCTATTTGATTTGGTCACTAACAAACCTATTCATGGTTTTTTAGGCCTCTTCCAATACGTCTCCTATTCCATGCAGGATTCTCACATTGATTACCCAACATACTCTCATCATGACAATTAGAGAGTTTGGTTTAAATTCTAACAGTCTCCCTTCAAATTTGGTCAGGTGAAGATACAGCCAATCAGACAATAATGTAAGTTCCTAGTGTAACAGTCCAGTCCGTTACAGTCCAAGTTCTTAATATTCCCTTATGTCTCATATCATGAAAATAAATTAAATAAAGTGGCATATGCAACCCATAATAATTGCAGATCCAATTAGGAATTTGTTTTTGAATGTATAAAACAAATGAAGACAATAGACATCAAAAACTGTACTAAACGTCCATTTTACCTAGTGACTTGTAGGTAAAGAAGCCAAACCCAAGCACTTAGGATTTAAGGCTCTGTTGGTCAATAGACATTTAACAAGAATAAATACATCAATCCTATATATGCTTGCCACAACATTAAGTACGAATAAAGTGGACATAATCACATAAAATTGAGCGTGCAGCAAAGAGAAAACATGCTGGTAGTACTACAGAGCGCATATAGACAAGGTTTTTAAAATCGGGTCCCTATTTTGGATTGATGGGGGAGGCTAAAGTATCGGGACCGTAGGATCAGACCATAAGAACTTACAAACTAAAAATTGGGACTAAAAACATACAAAACAAAATTCCTAAAAACAAAAATAAGATAAATCTAATATATATGAGAAAATGTCAAATATTATTATAAACAAGTAAAACTTAGAGAAACTATAATATGGATATTGAATAGGATTGAAAATGCAAGGTGGATCTAGTTTTGATCTTAACTTTCAGTGAGTGACGGGGACGAATGAGGGGCCAAGAAAGTCGAGTGATTGTTGAGATAACAAACAGAGATAAAAAACTGACTATTCGACATCCAACAACAAAAAAAAAAAGATAATGAAAAAGAAAGGCAAATCTTGCAAGGATCACTTGTCTTGAGAGAAGAGAACAAGTCTAACCATTAGTTTCAACTTTTCAACAAAAGGGACAATGGAATAAAAAGATTTCTTCATAACAAAGGAGCTTTTTGTAGCTTTTCTCATCCACTGAATTCCCTTATAGACCAATAAGCATATGAGACAATTTCAAATGGGCGGGGTTTCCAGCAAAGTATGGACTGAACCAGCTCAACAAGTAAAGGAACTTAACAAACAAACCCAACAACTTGGATTGGTAGACTAGAAGATTGGGATTGGGATTACAATCCTACAAGATCTCGATCTCGATCTATTAATATTCTATGAAGCATGGATTTTTGAATTTTACAAGAGACCCGGATCAATTTGCCTATACCAAAGCATAGGATCGGATTATCCCTCAAATCATTTGACATATAGAAGCACGTAGATTATTACAACAGTGCTAATTGACAAGTCAATCACAAGCAAGATGAGGCTGTGTATAGCAAAGGAAAAGGTAACATACATCCTCTTTCTCCTCACGAAGTTCTCGTAGACGATCTTCCTCCAGCCATTTTGCCTGCTCTGCAAGTTTCCTTTTGTACGCACTAGTAACAAACTTGTCTTTATCTGCATAGAGGTGATCATCTTTGTTTCTTTCTTTAGCAAGTTTTCTCTCATATATTATTTCATGTTGACGCTCCCGTTCTTTTGCTTTGTCCATCAGTGCTTGAATATATTTTGGCTGTGACAAATAATCAGATGCTGGTCAGCAAAATAAGATGAATTGTGAAATGAAAACAAAAGCATTCATACAGAATTTTTTTTCTCAACCTTCTTTAAGAAATAAAAACAATAAATAAAAACAAAATAAAAAAAGAAGAAACTAAGAAAAAAGTCATGGCATTTACAATACATAAGTAACCTGACACTATTTTTCTCTGGCATATATCTATCATCGTAGAAGAGAATTCAATTGGAAAAAGTATGCACACAAAGCCAGCAATGTCAGCCCTACAAATGTTGATCCAAAAAAAAAAAACCTACAAATGTTAGTCCTCCCTCCTACAAGAATCTACACTTTTTTCTTTAATAAGTATTCCTTCAGCGCCATAACAAAGCCCGACAACTCCCTTCTACAAACTTAAATTCATCAAACTTTAAGACCTTAACCCCCCTCAAGAAAATATCATTCACATTTCACGCAATAATTGAATACCATGACCCCCTTGCTTTAATTCCAAAACCTTACCCACACATGACTTAACCAAGCACAGCCTATTCCATTTGTTTAGGCCCTCAAATCAACATCTACAAACCCTAGAAAACTTGATGCCAAGACTTCGTAATATCCTATTTTTGATATGCAACGAAAAAATATTATTAATGATTGAAGTGGAGGAGAAAAAGTCTTATTGTGAATCATGACGGAAGAAAAAATTGCTCTCTTCCCCACATTGCTCCTCTTAAACATGCTTGACATAAAGCAAAATTATCCTCTTGACCACTAAAGTGAGCTTTAAACTAGCAACCTGATTATCATACTCCTTATGAATGTCATTAAAATGCATCTCTTTCTCTGCCATTCCTACTTTCTTGATCGTTATAAACTATTGGTCGGTACAGTCCAGGAGGCTAGTTATGAAGTTACACAGCAAGCTTCCAAATGGCGTCACATCCTCCTTTAGTGAATGGGATTTTGAAGAGAGGGCCTCTCTCAAAGGTGGGACCTAAAATAATATAAACCACAAAACCACCTCATTTAAATTCCAGTATGTACTTAAAATATTCTTAGAATCTAAAGTAAACAACAATGGGCTCCATCTCAACATCTATTTTAAAGAGTGAACAATTGTTTGGAGGATACCATCAAACTCCAAGTGCCGATTGTCAAAGAAATACACCCAAAGTGCTAGAGGTACCAAAGTTCCCAATGTGACCCGTGCCAAAAATCCTCTAATTTTTCTAATCAAAAAAAAAAAAAAATCCCCCTAATTTAAAGGAGCAGAAACTCTCTCCACACCTTCAAGGAAATTAAACTCTAATTGCCATAGGCAAAAATCCACCTTTTCTTCCTGAGTATATGTATTCCAAAGGTTATTAGCATCTCGATTTTATTTCCAGCATTAAAAACAGATTGGAAGCTTTGAGTTTAACAAAATTGCAGACACTTTAGTGATACAAAAGAATTCACAGATGATATTCATTTTAAGGAAAAACAAAATCACAGCCTACTACCCAACAGGCTAGACAAAACAATGATTCATCAGGTCCTTTATACATTTGGTCCAGATTAATATAGTTCACTATAAGAGATCATTGTCTTGTGCATTTGTCGAAGTATTAGGCTAACAATCATGATCCTAATGCATGAACTAAGGCCAAAATGCATATAGATACAAATGGTCAATAAAAGCAAGGAATAAATACAAGACACCTTTCTCTCTTGGCGATCATGAGCTAGAGGACGAACTACTTTTTCTTTCATTTCATCATATATTCCATCATAATCAAACGCTGAGGGATCCTCTTCCAAAGCCTTTTTATGTTGTTGCTCGATCTTGAGAAGGTGCAAAAATTGAAATGGAACATTATCTTAACAAGAAAATGCACAAGAAGAAATTGGCCATTAAGGAGTTATGGATTTTTTTACACAGCTAACTTACATCTTTGAGAGCCTTGTTCTTGGTGGCTTGACGAGAAATCTCTCTCTCAACATCATCCTCATCATCATCATGAAAGCCAAGAGGAGTAGGAAGTGGCGGTCTTGTTGATTGTTTCTTATGCTGGGATGGTGGAACCCTAAGTTGCAACCCGTACTTTTTCATTTCCCCTCCTAATATGATATAACAAAACAGAATAGTCAGATAAGTGCAAGCCATTGGATTTGTGCCTGCCTGAAGGAAAAACAAGATGCAAGGGTGAAGCATCACCTAAATCCTAAAGGCTCTAGGGCAGTAGATGGAGTTACAGGTTAGTGCAGGAGCAATAATGGGGAGTGATAGTTGGCGAAAAGCAAGGGTGCTAGCAAAAACACACAAAAAAAATTTGGAGATCAATTTTGTTTGAAACGAAATATCTCAATGCATACATATATCTGATTGGATTCTACTTAAATACTCACGCCAAGTTTGGTAAAAGAATAACAGTGGGAATGGAATTACTATAGGCTAGCAAAAAGAGCAGGATTGGAATGCAATAGACATTACCATTATTTTGATTTGCAACATCAACCATTCAGCAGAAGAATACATCGCTCATTCCATCCCAGTTTTTTATTAACCAATTCTGTGGAATAAATGGAATGAAATTTGACAAAACACCCCTTGTTATGTACTTTTATTGTACCTTTTTGAATAAAACCTAATTTCCATCAGAATTTCAGCAGCATGTTCTCTTAAAATAAGTGAACCTACTAACTTGTTTTTGATAGGAAGTGAACCTACTAACTTGTAAATATGCTGCAATGCATATACCAACACATTCACAATACTATGGATAATTAACGATTCATAAAGCCAACTTCTTTAGACCAGAAAAAAATCCTATCACTATAGATAGCAAGCATGTCCCAAAATATACAATTCCGAATTCCATGAAGTTAAATACTTCGGTCAGGAGAAAACAAGTCAAACTTCAGAGTAACACGGCATTTATATTTTAAGCTTTGGAGAGGAACAAGATCTAACAACCTTAATCATCATGTTCCCACATCCGACATTCAATCAAACAGCACATTGCCTTGTGATAGTGGATTCATTGCTATAATAAGATATTGATCTTACATAAATCAAGGCAACAAAAATAATGGAAAGAAGAGATTTAAACTTGAAAAAGATGTCTCAAGAACAAACATTACACAACCATGTCAACACAAAACCAACATCATCACAAATAGAGGTGGCAAACGGGTAGGTTCCTATGGGTTGGATTAAACCTATTAACCCACAAAATAATCAACTCTCACTATAAATACATACTAATACACAAAAAAACACAAACACATACACACACTCACTAATACACAAAACACACACAAACTCACTAATACACAAAAACACACACACATACACTAATACACCAAAATACACACACTCATTAATACACAAAAAAAATACTCTCATACACACTAATACATTAAAGATGTATCAATTCTAGTTACCATATACATCAGTCCATCTTAACCACAATTCCTTTACTTAATTTTGTAACAAAAAAAACCACAATGTTCAGTAGCATATATTACATTCAAGAGTATTAAAACGATCCCATACATCACTAAATATCAATAAGGAAAAAAAATGAGTTGAGCCTAATAAACTCAATGAAATCATGTGAAATAGTTAATGCTATTGCATCACTAAATATTAAGATTAATGTATGCACCTAAGTGCAGAATTAACATCAGCACAAGAAAAAAAGCTATGATGGTAAGACATGTATGTTTATGTATCACTTCTTGTTTGACCGCTGAACCAACCCGTTTGGATTTATTTCAACTGACCCAATCAGACAAGGTCAAAACCATTTATACCTAACCATCCCAAAACATTTAAAAAAATAAAACAAAGAAGATACAACAAATCACATATATTAACTTCATGTTTGCCATCAGTATCAACACACAACTAACCTTGAGTTTCAAAATTCGAACATGACTATGATGCCTATCAAGAAAAGCTTTGCATGTTATAGTTCATATCTGGCATTACCTATTATTTCTAGACAATCCGTTCTGAATTCAATTATTCCTCAAAAATTATATACATATACAATCTAATAAAATTCTCCATCTTTTTTTTTTTACCCATTTTTACTGCAACCACGCTGATGGATCTCTCTCTCTAAGCAATGTGGCTTTTTTCATGCTGTTACTGACAAGGTTTATGGTAGATTTTCTGAAGCAGAGGAGGGAAGGTGGAGATAAGGAGTTAAAACATGGAGCAAGTGAGAGAAAAACTACAGTTTTTGCCAAGTTAACTGTTATTTCCAATGTTATTATAGCCCTCTTTCATCTGGGGTTTTGTTTCTATGAATTTTGGAAGCTGAAAACCATCATTTTTGAAACTGTCTTCCCAGCAATGAACTGGACTTTGGCATGTTTTATTGCACTCTTTTCACTTAGCAGAACTCTTAGAGAACACAAAAGGTGGCCTCCAGTGCTTATTCTCTGGTGGGTCTTTTCCAGTATTTTTTATTCACTTTTAGTCTTTCTTTATCTCCTCACTCGTTTAAAATTCGTAGAAGTGCCAGATTTTCGGCCAGAAGCTAATATTATTGATTTTGCTTCCTCTTCCATTGTCCCCTGTTTCAATGCTCTGCATATTAATTCTAACAAGAAACAGCAAGAACTTGAACAACCATTACTTCGGAAGGATTAAAGGAGAACAACACAGATTTTTCATAACAGTATTAATATAAAAATTATCTCAAATACCAAAAAATCACGATACAACAACTTAATATGATGCAATAGCCAATAGCATTACCAAAATTATCTCAAATACTAATTAAGATACAATAACTGATATGAAGACATCAGACTTAAATTGCACAAGCAAAAAAGATAAATTTACTCAACAATTTAAAGCAAATCAATGATACCCGTAGTTGCAATCTTGCGCTCGAAGCGTTCAAGGACAGGAGCGGCGGTTCTGATCGAGGCCTAAGACTGACCGGCGACGGCCAGTCAACACAGTGACTCCAATGAAGTACAGAGCACCGGAGAGATCGAAGGGCCAAAGAAAAGCTAAGCAATCGATAACTCACGAAAGAAGGCGCCGATTGAAGAGACGAAACCGAGGCTTGGGCGGGCTTCGTCTTTTTGCCAACAACCTTTGACTAATCACTCCTCCGGCTACAATCAACAACGCCGGAGGTTAAGTGTCCTCTTCGACAGTAAAGCGAGAGAGAGGGGGGGATTGAACGCGATTGAAGAAGAAAAGATGGATAGGGTTTTTTTAGATTTGGCATATAAGTATCCAACCCATTGGCACCCGTTTGAAACCCGCCAAATTAGTTTAGGTATGTTATCCCTACCATTAACAATTCGTATTAATTCTGATCCAAAAATAAATAAATAATCTGTATTAATAAAACAAATATCTAAAGGCAATTTAAATTTGAGATCTCAAATTAATAAGGATTAGTGGATTTTGTTTAAAAAAATTGACAAAACTCACTCATCTATCTATTATCCGGTGCTCATTTGAAATTCAAATTTAAATTACATAACATTTTCTAATATCTAATCCGATAATTATGGGCAAGGCAAATTGAATAAATTAATAGATATTAAATCAAAATTATCAATAAAAATTGTACATTCAATTTTATTAAATACAACAAAAGGAATTTTTTAGAATATAAATTTAAATTGTAAAGATATTTTTCACGTACAAAATTCCCCAAAAAAATCTTTGAAATATAAGCACAATGTTAAAATTAATAATTAACTCGAGTTTTTCGAGTTCAAGTCGAGTCTGTCAAATTTATTTTTTTGAATCATACTAAGTTCAAGATCAATTCTTTTAAAAAATTAGTCGAGTCCGAATAGTTCAATTACTTTATATGCAAATAAACAAAATTTTGTAAGTTCAAACAATAGACAAACCTAAAAAATTATGCGCACTTAAAATACTGGCCGAGCCGAGTCACGTCCTACTTGAGCTAAACACGAACTCATTTAACTCAGCTCAATTATGTACTCAACACAAATTTTTTGCGGTGGAAAACAAGAAATTTCATAGATACACGGATAAGTATTACCGATAAATTGCTCTCTCTCTCTCTCTCTCTGCGACTGCAACAACTACAGCCCATCGGTAAGTTCTAAACGTTGCACTATTTTCTGCCCTACTTTCTTAGGCGACCAATTCGACGTTTCAAAGACTATGAAAAACTTGCACTTTCAATTTGAAGTTGAAACCTTGATTCTCTTAAGTTTACCTTCTTTTTTCAGCAAATAGACTGAAACTACTAAACTTTACGGTGTGGGGTTTTCTATTATTACATATTTTCCACGGTGCCGTTGAGGTTCTGAATTTGGAAAACGCTTCCTGTTTTTTGGGTCTAATTATACTTGCATACAATGTGTTTTCTTTTTCTGTGATTAATTTGTTCAGGTGCTGTTTCTCATGAAACCTATGATGTGTTCTTGCACTTTAATTCGTTATTGTAATTATATACCTTTGAATTATTTTGGTTTGAATGATTGGGGTTCATTAACCTAATTTGAATTTTGGGTTCTAAATTTTTTTTGATGATGTTTTGTTTGGCATTAATTTTTGAGACCGAATTCTCGTTTGGGGTTGGAAAACAAACCAATCTATTGTAGCTTGGGTTGTGAGTCGTGCGGTTAATGACCCACTCAAGATTTATTTACAAGATTAACTAGCCATTATGAACACATTCTAGAGCTCATTAAGTTATTGAGCTTGCTCGATAAGAGATAAGAGATAAGAGAATAAGCTTCGTGTACTATATATAAACAAGAAAAGCTACATGGGGGCTCAGTTCGTGGTTTTTAGAAGCTTATCAAGATTGAATCCCGAGATAAATGAGCCAAGCTTGAGCTCCATTTTGAGCTTGTTAAACTTCCCAAGCTGAGTTTGAGTATTCCACTATACAGCTTGATTCAACCTGTTAACACCCCAATTTTGGTTGGACATGTATGGTGTCCGCAGCTTGTGACTTGTGCCCCAATTTAAATTTTGAAATCAATTATGCGGTTATTTCCTGGCTACCTTCCATCATATAAAAGGTCACAATTTACTCATATAGGTTATAGTATCATCTATATTATCACGTGCCTTCTCTTGGTGGACAAGAGAAAGGAAAAGAAAATAGAAAACATAGGGCAAACTTAAATTTGCAACTTTACCAAGCCATTTGCATTAAGAAAGCAGCCCCTATTTTGTATATTTTTATTGACAACACTGTGGGAAACTAGAAAGAAGCTGAAATTTTTTCTCTAATTTACTTAGTTTTATTATCATAGTCCAGACAAGATGGAAAATCAGTGTAACTCATTTAAATTTCCCAAAATCCATTTTAAGATGGACTAACTGTAGTTTGCAACCTTTTAAGCATTCCCTACCATATTACATGAGTATTGTTATATATCAATCTCCTGCCGCCCTATCTTACACCATATGATTAAGTGTTGGTCCCTACTTTTAAGGGTACTGTGTCATTGTTTTATGATTTGCCCTAGTCTGTGCAAGCTGGTATAGTACACTGGAGATTTGCACAAGGAAGAAGCTTCCATTACCAATCAAATTTAAAGGGTTTGTCAAATTACTGGATTTCTATGCAAGTAGGCATATGATGTGTAATGTGAATATGAACAACATTTGCACCTGAATGGAGATCTCTGACCAAATGAGAAAGTGAGTACTAGTAGTAGGGGTGCAACTCGGGCGGGTTGGACAATCAACTCTAGCCCAACCCTAAGTATATAATTTTCAATCCTAACCCTACCTCGGATTGGGGAACTCAACCCGTGCACTGCCCAAGTTTAATTCGGGCGGATTCGGGTTAATGATTTCGGGTTGATTTCGAGTTACTTTACAGGTTCAATTCGGGAAGAGCCCAAAATAGGTTTGTTGTTCTAAACCTAATACATATATTACATAATATTCACCTAAATTAACAACCAATAACTTCAACCAAGTTTTTAACGAAAGAGGCTGAGAGAACGAGAGAGACAGAAAATGATAGAACAAAAATGAAAAATCAGTGCTAATGTTTTATATATATATATATATATTTTTTTTATTTGTAGGGTTCGGATTGAACTCGGGTTAACCCGAGTCCAACCCAAATTAAATTCAGGTTGGGATTTTTTGACCCAAGCCCAACCCAAGTATTAAAAACCCTTGTCCAAGCCCTAATTTTTTTGGGTTGGGCTCAGGTTGCTCAACCCAAGTTGCACCCCTAACTAGTAGCAGTAATCAAGATTTTTAAGGTTAGTAGGTGCAATAAGGTGAAGCAATTGAAAGTTCCATGCATAAAAGATTATTTAGTTTGGTGCTAGAGCAGTTCTCACAGGAGCATTTTGAAATGATGCATGTGCAATTTTTTATTGTGTTTTTTGCTTAGAGATGCATGTACAACTATTATGGGACCTCCAAAGTAGTAGTGATTAAAAACTGAATGTTATAGATGCTTTATTTCGGATGGTATGCTCATTCTCTTAAGTTAGGGAGTTGTGGACAACGGATGCCTTCAGATGGGTGGCCTTGAAGGCTGTGAATTCAATGTAAAAGTTGGAGGTTATGAATGTTAAAGATTGCGTATACTCATTCTTTTGAGATTGTGAAAACTCATTCTTTTGAGATGATGAAATGTGGACAAAGAATGAGATGGATGGCCTTGAAGATGGGTAGATCCAAGGTTTGATCTAATTAATAGGGTGCTGAGGAGTGAGAACTCATGCAACTTCTCTTTGATGACAATTTGGCTTGCTAATAAATTGGGTAAATCCATTTATTAGCACTGGGTTATCCTTGGGTTGGGATAGATGTGTCTACAATTGGGTAAATCCATTTCTTGTAACTCTTTTTCAAATTTGATAAATTTTGGTTGATTGTATGTTTCATTATACACCTTATGAGGTTCATGACCAATTAGATTCTGACGTACCAAGAAAGCGTTGCTAAGATCGTTATAGTTTTTTCCACAACTCAGGAAAGTTCTTGATCTTTCTTTATTAATAATTCTTGGGAGGAGCTTTATCCATAAGGAGGAACTTTCTGATACCTTGGTTGGTATCTGATTTTTTATATGGTGTAATTGTGGCCTGAACATTTCATATTAACATATTTCCACCATGATAATGTAACCCTATCTGTAACTACACACTTTATGTGGTGTTGGTTTTGAATTCAAAATGAGCTTTTATGTGTACCCCTGAATTTTGTTTTTCGCTAACAACCATGCGCAAGGTCCAATTACTCATTTGTAACTTGAAGAGTTGGTTTTTTAGTGTGTATCAGCGGTTTGGTAACAAGTCTATTCTGTTGTGTTTTTTTTTTGTTGGGAGATTCATGGAAAGTGCTTATTATTCACAGGCTAGGTCTCTGCTGGGAAGATCTTATAATGGGAAATAAGCCTGCAAAGCAAGAGAAGGATGAAGTACTCTTGAAGATTGTGCCTCCTTTAGACCGTGCATTTGTTCGTTGGCTTGCTCGGGATCTTGAGAGGATTCATGGCTTCACTCCAAAAAAAATTCAATCTGTAAAACCACCGGATCATTACATCGAGTACATGCGCTTGAACGGTTGGTTGGATGTGAACTTGGATGATCCTGATCTGGCCCAATTATTTAAGTAAATAATCATAATATATACTTCTTGAAAGAGTAAAAATTTCTGCGGATTTTTATTACAGATAAGCAAACAGATCTTTCGCCCTCTATATGGTGAGAGTCCCTCCTTATCTATCGGTATTGGATTCCCTGTATTGTGCAAATGCATTCGAAGAATGGGTTCTTATTATTTACCAGAACGTTTGATCTATTGTTGCACTATTGATGTGAAAATTGTCTAGGTAATGGAAGTTCATTACTGACTTGATACTGTTCTAATTTCTTTGTGTAAATTAGTATGCTTGCTTGAATAGTTATTTGTGCTTTTGTGGTATTGGGCATCAATCGAAATTAGATGATTTTAATGCAAATTTTTCTTATCTAGTTAATTTTTCTGGTGGCAGCATGGTTTGTGAGTTTACAGAAAAGTGTGTTACAATTTCTTGAAGTCCAGTGCAGAGACGCAGATTTGAACTAATATGACAATTTTTTTTGCGACATTCTTGTTAATTCCATGCTTGTCCTTGTCTAGGAAGGTGAGTATGCATTCTACATTTCTACTATCACCAAAAAGGAGATCCCATAAAGATTTTAGAATTCAGATGACCAGGGCAGAGGTAGACATTTTCTTCGGTGGGGGTAACCTAAACTATATTAATATTAAATTTTAAAATATTCATAAAAGTATAGTTTTATTAATAAAACATTAATTAAAGACATAATTCATATATATGAGCAATATACAAAAGGAGCCAACAAAAAAAAATTCATTATAAATTTATCTATAAGACCTAAAAAAAAAAAATTGAATCGCAAAATTGGGCTCAATCATATATTAAATTTTAAGAAAAATTTTTAAAAATTAATTTGTTCAATCACAAACTTAATATTCATTATTAAATTTTAATAAACAATCGAAACTAACTTAAACTATAATTATTCTACTAAACTAAACCTAGGTATATGAAGTACTTAACTTATCACAATAAAACTATTCAAGTTACCAAATTAAAATAGTTTATTTTAATTATAGTGGAGGATTACAAGTCTCAATTTCAATTTTATAAATAAAAATAAAACAAATGAGACGACTATAAGTCCTAATTCTAATTCAACATATAAAAATAAAATAATAGAGAGGACTACAAACTTAAATATCAATTAAATATAAAAAAAAAAAATCATAGAAGAGGATTATAAGTCCCAATTTTATTTCAACATAGAAAAATAAATACAGGACTACAAATCTTAGTTTCAATTCAATACATAAAAATAAAACATAAAAGATGATTGCAAACCCCAATTTCATATTTTCAATTTAACATGCAACAAATAAAATACAACAGAGAACTACATGCGCTAATTTTAATTCAACATTTAAAAAATAATCCACAAAAATAGACTAAAAATCCTAATTTTCAATTCTAACATATAAATATAAAACAAAGAAGAGGATTACAAGTCCCAAATTTAGTTCAATGTATAAACATAAAACAAATGAGAGGGTTAACATATTTTGTAACATATTAGTTAATCTTTAAATACCCAAATTTTTGATATCATGTTTCATTGATATTTACAAGTGAGACTCGTGTATTTATCAAAATAACATAACTACCTTTAAATCTTTTAAAAAAAATCAATGGAGACAAATTTCTAATAAATTTAAAATTTTTTAAAATTATACTTAGTCTTCAAAAGTTTTAAAATTTCAGTGACGACAGCTGCTGCCACTGTGTAGCTATCATCTGAGATGACAGCTATGTTTCCTTCATTTTTGGGGGCTCTCACCTATGGCTTGACCCAACTCCCTCTTACGATACCTAGGGAGGAGGTCAAACACGTACTGAGAAATCTGGTTGGATCGAATAGAATGATCGTCTTTTGACACTCCTTATGCAACGAGGAAGGAAGTGGAGGCCCCATAAGAGAAAAAGAGGGGGATCAATGAGTCAGAATTTCTCAATATACCCAATTTTATCCTGTAAGGAGGATTCTCTAGTTTCCGTGTTGGAAAGCAAGGCTTTAAGCCTATTCTCCTGAATCAGGCCTCATCTTTAGTTTATTGAAGGGGGTGTTGGAATGAGGATAAAAGCCATGGACAACGACTCCAGTAGGCAGTAGGTGGCCTTGCCTGGGTATAAAGTATATTTGAGTGGCATGTTCGTAGACCTTTAATTTCCCTTTTTTTGAAGAATGGGAAAGGCATCGTTAGTTTCGTATATTCCAGTACAGGGGCCAAAAAAATATTGGGTCTTACTATCCAATAAAAAAAGAGTAAAAAAGATAAAATAAAATTCACTTTTTATTATAGAAGTGATTATGTATTACATGATGTATGGTTATGAGATTTATTACAGTTCATTTGCTAACTTGTTTATCTATTAGTGGATCGTTACACCACGTGATACTGTTAATATGGTGTAACGGTTACACACATTGCTCTCATCTCATAAAATATTATAATACTCTTAGAGAATACTCTTTTCAGCGACTTTATTTATTAATAAAGATGTCTGACAACCGTTGTTGTTCTCGAGAGTGAAGTAAGTCACCTAAACTAAAACTACTATAAATCTCTGTGTTGATTCCATATTTACTGTTCTGCCATTGATTGCCTATTTACTGCTCATTAATTGTGTCTCTTGATATACTCGACTGTTGATTTTGCACAATACTGATTTGTGCATCATTAGATATACTCATATCTATATAGATATGGAGGAATTACAAATTCTCTCTTATGTTTTTTTGTCGGTTATTTCTCAATTATAAAATCACTTACCACGTATCGGTAAAGAGTCACATATATTTAAGGTATGTCCTATTTAAATTCATTTCAGATGCTCTATCATTAAAATTTAAAAAATAATATATATATATATATATACACTAAAGAGATCTCACTCATTACGTGGAGAGAGGATCGCCTATCCTCGTCTATTTTGGAAACAGAGGGATAAAATTGATCGCTGTTTTTGGAATGGTGTTGAAGTAGAGCGGTTTAATTGGGCCAATAAAAACTTCGGACAACATCAGAAAAGAAGCCTATCCTATTACATAATCAGGCCCATTAGCATTTGCCCTTGGCTTACCGTAGCGCCTCAGTGGTAGACCATGGCTACTTGGCTTGTACAATTGGTTAGCGTTCGGGTCGGTAGGCAACAATGAAGTTAAAGTAGGACGCGCCAAATAATCGCCTCTTTGACGGGGTTGACAAAAGGCGCGAATCGCCGATTCCAAATTTCTTAAGAACCTTTTTTTTTTAAATATTATTTTTTAAGAGAGATTAACAGGTAATTTAATTGTTGTTAGTAGTCGCAAGTTTGAACCTCCTCATCCTGCACAATTTGCATGAATCTCCTCAAACTTTCTTGTGGAATTACTTCTAAAAAAATATTATCCAAAAATTAACTGGCAATTAAATCTTTTAATTATTTTTATTCAATTAAAATAAAAGGTTTTTTTTTGGGATTTAGTTCTTACATGTTTTGATAAAACAAGATTTCACAACTATATCATTGAATTAATGATGTGATTTTGATCATATTGCAATTTATGTCACAATCTTCCTAGTTGGTATTTTATTAAAATGGGTAACTCTTCAAATAAGTTATGGTTTTACTCTAAACGAATTGGACTCAAAGTTGGGTTGATCAACTGGATTTGTCAAGTAAATAGGGGCAATTCAAATCCCGTTATACATTACTTGCACAAGACATCAAATAAACGAAGCAATACACAACACAAACGTTATATATATTACAATAATTTTTATTTGAAGAAAGACATAATCAAAAACACAAAATTTTACTACTTACTTAACATTATTAGCAGAATACATAAATTCCAAAAAGGCCAATAAACATAATTCCACACCCCAACTTCAAAAAAACCCTTAACCTTTAAAAGAGTGCGTGCGAACTAATTATCAATTTTTTAAAATATCCTAAATATATTAATTTGTAAAATTTATACTACTAATAAAAGTAACTTAAGTGATTTTTTTTATTTTTTAATAATTCTGTAATATCTACTACTTATTCTTTTTAAAGTGGTTTAAGAGACAAATTTTTTATTTCTTATTTATCCTTCAAAAATTCTATAAAATCTACTTTATTCTTTTCTGATAATTTTTTTTTATTTTTTTATTAGTTGCATTAATTCAACAAATAAATTTATTGTTTGACTTTTGATTATCTTCTTCCAAAATAATACAAATTTGATCCAAATTCAATTTGTACACTGTGATCCAAATCCAATTCAATTGCCCAATAAATTTTATTTTCACAGTACATGTATGAATTCGTTAAAATAGATATGCGTTCTGATCCGAATAAATTGATTAGAAACGATTTTAATATTTAGCACATGGATTTCTCTTCAATTTTATTAAATAATCACCAAATTACATCATATGTGTTGTAAGTATGTAGTGCATATTTAAATTCGTTAAACAAAGAAATATTTGAATAGATCTAATAATTTATATATTATTTTCGAATATCAATATTTGTTAAAAAAAATTAATTGATAATATTATGCTTAAAAACATAAAAAAGACAATAATAACCTATTGTAATAACTTTTTATTGGTCCAAGAAATTAACAATCATCCAACTATTAATTACTGACTGAAGTTAAATATTACAGTTTTTAAATGAAATGAAATTCAGTTTATACAATTCAAAATACTAGAAAAATCTTGAGCAGAAATGTTTACTTTACCCTATGGATAAGAATTATAGTATTTCATCTTTTTATCTGATACTTTGCAGAATAATTTTTTCTTAACTTATTCCTACCCGAATTCCATCCAAAAAATCGGGTAGAAAGTTGAATGAACACATATTTGTTTAGTTATTAATTTTTGGATTATTTTAACAATTTAATTCAGTAACTTGCATCAATTAACTAACACAATAAACCAATACTACTAAAAAAAACACAATAAATTCGATAATAAATAAACAATTACAATAAAAAAAATACACAAAAAAGTCATAAACATTAATACATCATATATAAGAAAACCATAAACATCAATAAAACATTAGGATTTCTAGGTTTTTATTTTTAGGGATATATATAATGAAAATTAGTCAAATTTATCTATTTAAAAAATAAAAATAAAAATAGTTGAGGTGCAACACAGACGTGCACCAAGTAGTATTTTTCAAAGTCCAAAAATTAATTCATAGATTTTTCCCACAAAAATATTTCAACTAATATTATACTTTTTATACTGAGATTGTTTTGTATGTTAATAAAATTAATATTTAAATTATATTGTTTTTTAGTTAAATTTTATTTATATGTTTTATTATATTTACAAATTATTATTAATTACAATAATATAACTTGTTCCCTCCACATCTCTATCCGAACCAAATTCCCTCCTTGGTTTCTTCCCTCCGTTTCTTGCTCTCTCTTTCTCTCTCTTCCCGCTTTTTTTAATCCTTCTTCCTCTTCAGATCTCACTCTCTTCGACCAGTAATTTCTTCCAGAATTTCTCTCCAATTCCATTTCACTCCACAATTCTTCGGATTCATCAGTTCCAATTCCTCTCTCTGTGTCTTGAAATCTCAAACCCCAGAAAAGAGGGCTTGATCGTTCATTTTCTCTGTGTAAGAGGTTTAAATCCTGATACTTTCATCCAATTACGATGTCGACTTCAAGAGCTTCGAATCAGCCAACGGAGCAACAGTCTTTAAAGCGTCAGCTTGCGTTCACGTCGATGAAGCCGCCGTTCGGGGACTACCACCGCTTCTCGTCATCAGTCCCTGAAAATCGGGCTCACGAGCCCGAGGCTGTTGTGGTCAAGTCTCCGGTGAGTGATTGTTATAATACTCTGTACGTGTTTGAGAATTTTTAGTTTTAGCTGTTGTTGTTGGAGGGCAATTACCCTGTTTGGGAATCGCTAATCTTGGATGCTGGCAGGGGTCAACTGGGCGCATTCCTAAACTTTAACAGGTTAATGCGTAGTAGCGTTGTAATTAAGGAAATTTTTATGTTAAGATCCCTTTTCTATTGGGCGTCAAGATTTGGGTTTTTGAGGATTCGAGTTTGTTTTGACGTTGAAGTAGGCAATCTTTATGTTTTTTGGGCGATATTGCTAAGTGGGTTGGATGTGACTTTTTAACTGATGAGTGTACAAATGACTTAGCTTGTGTTTTGAGCTCTGATTCTTGCCTGTATAATTGGAGTCCACCAAGTGGTTGAGCTATCAATCCAGGACAGCATTGACTGTTGTTTTGCAATGGACATTGAAGAACAGATAGCATCGGATTCATCAAGGTGGGAAATATGTGGAGTTCAAAACATGTTGGGTGATTGATTGATAAATGGATTTTTGTGGTTCTAAATTTTTTTGATATCAATGTATGAAATACCAGGGATTAGTGACTCCTGAATTTTGTAATACTGTTGTAGAAACTAGAATTTTTGCTCTATTATATCTTTTTTTGTCTGGTATAAGTTGGATATGGTCACTTAGTTTTGAAGCTAAGGGTGAAGCTGTATAATTTTGAAAAAGACTGATCAAGAATATTTAGTAATTGCGTTGTCAAAATGATTGTGTTGGCTTTGTTGAGATTCCTTTAGAAAGGACAATTCTAGCTGTGGAATTATGGTTGTCCAACTTCTTGTAGGAATGTGTTGTTTCTGTATTGATTTAACATCTTGGATTGGAGCCAATTAATCGGGAGGTTATGTGGGAAGTTGTGTGAATTATGAAAAACTGCTGTGGATATGTACATATTTGATCGTGGACCGCGGTCATTGAACTTTTTGTGCTAAATTTGTTGTCTTCCGGTGGATGGGACATGATGGAATCAAGTCACTATGTTGTGAAAGTTGTGTCAAAAGTCGGATGAATTTCAGAAATTTATCTACAAAATAATAATTTTTTGCTGCAAGGATTGTGGTCTTCATTTCCGAATGTATTACTGGTTTTCCTCGTCGATTTGAGATAAGTAAAAACATCATCTTGTGGCATTGATTGAGGTAAATGTAAGCTCTCTATTGACCAATAAGGGTATTAGTAGGGGTGGAGTTAAAGATTCTGAAGGGTGGAGGCCAACTAAAGAAGAAATGGGGGCCAACTCAAATATATGAATACTTTTTGGTGTCAGTGTAACATGAAAAGTACACTACTGCCAATTGAGGAAAGAATATTGTTTGAAGCTTAGGGGCAGTCATGGTACCCTTCCCCTAGGTCTCAACGTGGCTCTGCCTTTGGATATCCCAACAATCAAGCCTTTGCTGATTAGATGAATATAGGAGGCTCATTGTGTTATCCTTGGTTTGCTGGAAACATGATTTTGATTAATGATGAATGCAAAAGGGTAAGTTTGAAGTCGAGAGAGACATTTTAGAATACAAAGTATTTGGATAATAAACTAAAACTAAATTGCTGAAATGTTATTTAGCTATTAAGTACTCTTGTGGCTTGAAATATTCTTGATCTCTTTGTGCCTTCCCCCTTTGTACCAATGGTAGTGACAGACTGCCTTTTAATGTTCGTTGTGCACAACAGTGATTAATTTTTTTAAAGTAGAGCGATCCATATTCCTGGGATAGTGATAAGTTTGTCAATTTTATTGTCAATATAGTTTATCCATATGTTTATACAGACATACACACATGTAACAAAAGAGTGGCCCAGTGTACGAGACTCCTATCATTGTTGAGTTGGGAACGGTGAGATGGACGCCAGCTTACCTCTACATATGCAAGAGGCTGTTTCTATGATTCGTACTTTGATGCCCAAGTCACAACGAAGTAATCCTGTGGCACTTGCACCATGGTCCACGCATAGAAACATATAATATAAATGTGTTGGAGGCATCTACAAGCAAATCTCAATCCATACTGTTGGCCATTGCTAATATGCTCCCTGTCTTAGTTATGATCATGTTTTCACAACCCTTGACTTCATTATGATCTATGTTTCAAATGACACTTAGGTTTTCCCTTTCAATTATTTATCTTCCATAATCCAACCTCTTTGATACTGCATCTCATCAGAATTGTGTTGATCGTACAGTTGCTTGTGTTTTAATAGATAACCGTTATTATTGATTTACTTAAGAGAACATATTATAATTTACAGGGAGGTTCAATATTTCTTTTTTATTCAATTGCCTGGTTTAAATTTTTAAGAATGTTGCTAACTGTGGTTTTCAAAATTCAAATTGTGGCTTGTAGCCATTAAAGCGGAAGATTGACACAGCAGACTGTGAAGATGAGTCTCGCGAGCAGAAACCTGGTTATATTGAACTTGTTAGTAGTCCCCTCCAGACTCCTGTTTCAGGAAAAGGGGGAAAGGCACAAAAGATTCCAAGGATTGCTAAGTGCAATAGATCTGGATCGCAAACTCCTGCAGCAAACGTCGGTGAGCATATTAGTGTCCGAAATCTCTATTTTGAATTCCATTATTTGCGTTCTTCTATGTATCTCATAGAGGGATTGCCAGCAACAACAGACAAATTTGTTGGCACAAGTAGGATTCTGTCTGATTGCGTCCAATGAAATTTTCTTTGAAGCGTACTGATCCATGCCAGCAGGATATAAGAGGAAGTTAATAAATTTTGATAAATATTAATTTTCTCTTCCAGGTTCTCCTTCAGGCAATAATCTCACTCCAGCTGGTCCCTGTCGTTATGACAGCTCCCTAGGTACTTAATTATTGCCGGTGCCTTTGTTTATTGATTTGTTATTTTGTAGTTTTCATTTCCCTGTGATGCAGTGGAGCATGTTTCTACTTGTGATTGGCTATGTTTTCAATAGTTTGTGATGTGGTGGAAGTACATTCCATCAAAGTGAATAATTGAACTGTCATTGGAATCTCATTTAGGTCTCCTAACAAAGAAATTCATCAATCTTATCAAACATGCTGAAGATGGTATTCTTGATCTTAATAAAGCTGCTGACACATTGGAGGTGACTATGTTGCTATTGAATCCGTGGCTTCTTGTCTTGTTATGTCAATTCTATTCACTCAGGAGTGTAATGTTGTTACAGGTACAAAAAAGGCGGATATATGACATCACAAATGTTCTAGAAGGAATTGGTCTAATAGAAAAGAAACTCAAGAACAGAATACAGTGGAAGTATGGAAGAGTTCTTTGAGTTTAATGGCTTTAGTAAAAGTTGCTTTTTATTTAAGGTCTTTATTTCTTGAAGAATCACTTGTGCAAATGAAAAGTTACTGATTAGTTGGTTGGTTAATAGGGGGCTTGATGCCTCAAGACCAGGGGATGTTGATGAAAGCTTTTCGAGCTTACAGGTATGCTGCAATATATAAACTTCTGCTTGTCATTCACAGACTTAAGATGGGTTTGGTGCAACTTTCCAAGTTCTTGCAAATGTGGATGGGCATGTCTACTTCCTATTTTTTTCTTTTTCCTCTTTAAAATTTTGTTTTGATTTTTTAATTTATGAATCTTTTGTTGTCTGGGAGTGTTACATCCATTATAGTACTTTGACAATGCAAACTTAGTATGGCAAGAAGCATGTAATCTCTGGTTACCAGAAAAATGCATCGATGAAGGATTCTTGTAACTGACCAGAGATGATAGTGTTAGGGCTTTGTTGAGTTGTAGGACATAATTCTATGCTTTCAATGTTCACCAATTGATGCAGAGATTTGTTGATTTGCAGGACATAATTCTATACAGATAACACTCAACAATTAATGCATGATACATCTGTAAATATTAACTTTAAACAAAGTGGGTGATTAATGCAAAGTGCAGTGATGGTTTTCATGGATATATTTCCTCTGCAGGCAGAAGTCGAAAACCTTTCCATCGAGGAGCACAGATTGGATGAACAAATAAGGTTATTTAGTGATGTCTGTGGTTTAGAAGCTCTTTTATGCTGCCTTGATTGTGCTGAATTTTCTATATTCTGGCTTAATGCAGAGAAATGCAGGAACGTTTAACGGACCTGAGTGAAGATGAAAACAATCAGAAGTAAAATATTTTTATGCTTTCTCCATCAGCTAACTTACATTGTTCCAAATAGCAAATGTGTATAGATTATAGCTGCTTATTGTGATGGACATGCTTTCCTTCTCTGTTCCAGGTGGCTTTTTGTCACTGAAGAAGACATCAAGACCTTACCATGCTTTCAGGTATATTTGTTTTATTTCCAGAGTAAAGGTTAAAAGTGTTGATCGGTGGACTTTATGTTGCTGAGACTACTCATGGACACAGTTCCACCTCACACTGTTTTAAGCAGACTTAACACTGAAAAATTTTCATTGGTTTTGTCAGGATGAAACCCTGATAGCAATTAAAGCTCCACACGGCACCACTTTGGAAGTACCAGATCCTGATGAGGTAACTTGAGAGCCTACAAAGATTGGAATAACTGTAGATACGTAGACCTTAAGGCAGCTTTTCTTTTGCTTATCAGGCTGTTGACTATCCTCAGAGGAGATACAGAATAGTGCTTAGGAGCACCATGGGGCCAATAGATGTTTACCTTGTCAGGTGCTTTGCATCTTTTAGCTACAATGGTTGTATGCCTTTACTATTTGTTACTGCTTTGAGGCAATGCTAAGTCTCTATACTTGTAAAGAAGATGATAGACTATCTGATGCAGGGCTATTCTATTGTGCTATCCCCCCCCCCCCCCCCCCCCCCCTCCCCCCCCAACCAAAAAAAAAAAACTTTAATTTTTTATTTTATTTTTGCTCTTAAATTCAATTTATGTTTGTTCCCATTTCTATATGTTATTTGCTTTAGTCAATTTGAGGAGAAGTTTGAGGAGTTCAATGGTGGTGAGGCACCCTCGAGCATTCCTTCAACATCAGGGTGCAGTGAGAATCCAGCTGTTGTAATGCCAGCTGAAATCAGTAGAGAAAATGAATCGCAGGGACAAGAAGCTTATAAGATGCCATCAGATATATATGCATCGCATGACCTCATGAGTGGGATCATGAAGATTGTACCAGACGTTGATGTAAGTCCTGACTACTCACTGTAGATTTATATTATTTGTCAAAGCTTAGAGATACTAATTACTGGGAGCAATCCAAATGTGTAATATTCCTCAAATTGCTTGTGATCTCTGCAAAAAGGGTTCCCAGAGTTTTCCAATCAGTTGAGTTATATTGCAAAGTCTGCAATATGCTTACCTTTGGTCGACAAGTTGAAAGTTGAAACAAAGAAGAATGTTCCAAGCATATTTTCCAGTTACTAAATTATTTCCTTTCACCTTTTTGCAGATTGACGCCGATTACTGGCTGTTGTCAGATGCTGATGTTAGTATCACGGACATGTGGAGGACAGATTGTATCCTCTATAATATTTTGTGGCTCGTTTCTTTTTTCTTTTCCCTCCTCTTCATATGACACAATATTCCCACTGTGAATACTGGATTTCTTGACTTGAGCACAGCTGGGGTAGAATGGAATTCGTTGGACACACTTCATGATGACTATGTGATGGCTAATGTAAGCACGCCACGTGCCCAAACTCCACCGTCTTGCACAACAGAAATACCTTCAGCTACCAACACCACAGGGACATAAATAGAGTTTGCGATGGAACCTAGTCAACTAGAGCTCTGCTAGACACCGTTGTCTGTAATTCCTCTTATTGAAGCATGAAATTGGGGATTGAGGCTTTCAGTTTTACTTTTAATATGCTCTCCAAAGAAGTACAAGCATGAAGCTGGATAACGGATGACATGAAGCTGGATAATGGAAGATATAGGCGGCTAGTTCATTGTACAGTATATTTGTATACATTATCCCTGTGGTATCAATAATTATAGAGGTAGACACTTGAATTCAAAGTTCGGCCCACTGTATATTATTTCATTTCTTGGCTTTATGTTACTGGAGTACTAATAGGTTGGTTCTGCCAAGTTATGGATCGGATTACATGCACATTTTAAATGTACGTATGTGATATGATGCATTAGTTGCAGTCTTTGGTTTTAAACCATCATTGACATTTGACTGTGCTAGATGGCCACTACAGCCGTTCAACAAGAGCACTGGGTCCTGATACGAAGACGATGCTTATGGTCCAAGGTTAGCCCCCTACACAAGTTGAATAGCAGGGATGGCTGTTTTGGTTGGGCGATGGCAAAGTATGCAGCTCTTGCAGAACTGGAGTCTGGATTTTGCAGTTTTGTGGTTAAATGTACAGTTGAGCAATTTTTTTTGTCGTTTTTTACAACTGGAAAAAAACCTGTGGAACCTTTGCTTGCGCTCTATTTTAGACTAAGGCAGGCTTTCGATTGGTGCACTGTACATAATTCTATTTGGTTTCTGGATGTGATGCTCTTCATATTTCTGAAGTCTGATCAGAAACAGAATGAGTGTCTCATTTCCTGTGTGAACTTTTGTTGTTGGACGCATTTTGAATGACAAGATGAGCTAATATAAATCAAATTTTTGTTGCATTGTCTTCCATTACAAGAACTTACACTGAGAGACGTGATATATTACCCTGCCATAAAAGACTTTGTTGGCCTTACGGGGGGTCAGCCATCACTCTATGGACTCGCTGCCACTTATGGGTGTGGCATCGGTGTTTGACAGTCCATACCGCCGGTGGGCCTAGTGTGTACTCCAACCTGCAACACTTATAGACATGGGGATCTGCACTATCATAGTTTACGGTCCCGTATGGATGGCGATAATTTTGATTGGGAATGAGAATTTCATTCCTAAATCCTAAATTATCTTGTTTGGAGAATTAATTATTCAATAATCTAACTCGAGAATAAGATTACTACCGTAATCCAATTTTCAATAATGGTGGTATCCTAAATTCATGGCCAATGGTGGCAATCAATGGGTCAACCAATCAAGCTAATCCATGCCTGAATCTCAAGAGTGGACTTCGATGAATGGTTGTTTTCAGTTGTTTATGGGAGTCCAAACCCAGCAATTAGAGATCAAATAAGGGATAAACTGAGCTATACAGACGATAACTGCAACAACTCTTGGATGGTTCCAGGAGATTTTAATGACTTCCCCAGCCATTCGGAAAGCAGAGGAAGAACGGTGGATCATAGTAATAGAATAAGGAAGTTTAAATACAGAATGAGTAACTGCGGTCTCATTGACCTAGGATACATCAGTCCTAAACTCACATGGAACAACAAGCATAAAGATCGCAAGAATACAAAGATCAGGCTAGACAAAACTCTGGCAAATGCAAAATGGACTGTCCAATACCCGAAGGCGGGAGTGAGGAACCTTACAAGAACATATTCAAACCATTGCCCACTTCTGATCAAGGGGCAAGGTACCTCTTCTATCTTTCCTAGTAACAAGCCGTTTACACTTGAAGCTATGTGGACTGCACACCCAGAATTTAAGGAAATAGTAGCCAAAACTTGGAGAGACAATAACAATTCTTTAATTCATGCTACTGTTGCTTTTGAAAGTAATGAAAAGGAATGGAAAAAAGAAAATAACAAATGCTATATAAGAATATTTTTTATAACTTCTTTGGAATTGAGGAAACAGTTTCCATGGATCATAGGGATTTCAGATACCAGAACATACTGAATAATGAAGATAGAGATGTTTTAGACGCCACATTGACTGATTCAAAGACCAAACATGTCATCTTTAGCATGAAAGCACTCAAAGCCTAAGGTCCTGACGGTCTTCAGGCTCTGTTTTTTTCAGAATTAATATTGGGATGTTGTAGGTAACTCCATATGCTAGCATATCAAGGAAATGGTTTCAAATAAAAAATGTCCAAGACAAATAAATAAAAATTGGGTCACTCTTATCCCTAAAATAGATAATTCAACTCAAATTATTTAGTTAGACCTATTGGTCTTTGTAATGTTTCTTATAAAATTTTGACCAAGTTAATGGTTTTCGAGATTAAGACCCTTTTTAAAAGAATTGACGAGTCCTACTCAAAAGTAGTTTTATTCCAAGTGGACAAACTATTGAGAATTTGATCATAACTCAAGAAATTATTCATAGTCTAATAAGAAAGAAAGGGAGAACATGGGGAATGATTATTAAAATTGATCTGGGAAAAAACTTATGATAGCATTATCTGGCAATTTCTATACCCAACCCTAATGGACTTCAATTTTCCAGTCTTTAATTGATATAATTATGAGTTGTGTTATAAGATCATCCCTCTATATCCTGCAAAACGGATCATCTTTAAAACCAATGAACTCCAAAAGAGATCTAAGGCAAGGGGATCACCTATCACCATACCTCTTTGTTATGTGCATGGAGAGATTAGAGTAGTTAATTCTTGAAAAAGTCCATCCAAGGCACTTGGAGAGGCATTAAAGAGATTACCCACTAATTGTTTGCCGATGACATTAAATTATTTTCTAGAGCTTTTGAAAAAGACTATCTCGTGCATTTAACAAAGATAAATAGGATTCACGCAGTATGTGGGTTGTCTTTTTTGAATTTCAAATTTTTGGTTTTCCAATTGTAATCAATTCTGTTTTTGGTGGAGTAATGAAGATTGTTGCCGTTGAATATAGGTTTTGGGGGGAATTTTGCTGGTTTTCAAAAAATGGGTGATTTCAACATTAAATGTGGGAAGTTCAGTAAGTAGCATGCTTGTTAATGCTTTGATTTTGTTTCCTATTCCAGTTAATTCATTCAGGAACCAAAAAATTAAGGGTATTGCAGCCTTTTTAATCTGAAATGTGCTTTTTAACAAAAAAATAAAAAAAAAATTGGGGTGAAACTTTTTGGCTTTCAAAAAACCCCTTAACAAAATTTCATCATTAATCATTGCATTCCAATCGAGCAAAGTGGGGTTATTTTTTTAGTTTAACGGTCAGGAGTGTTTAGACTAATTTACGCACACTTCAATTAATACCCTCTTTAGTTCGATCAAAAATAGACCATCTACTCCGACATTAAAATATTCATGAAGAATATATCTCTCATAGCATGACTCCAAAAATTAACAAAATTCAAATTAAAAATTATATGTATTTAGAACTCGTCTCTATTATCCCTCGAATTAGAATTTGCAAAGTTGGATTTATCTCACTTATTGAGGAGTTCTCTGTTACCATCACATAAAATCTAATTGTCACTGTTTTGCACCTTTTTTATTTACTGGACCTGACTAAGTTACAACTTTTTTGTTTTTTTTACCATAGCTAAAATTACTAGTGATAAAGATCAAATTATAATTTTTAAACACGAAGTTACAATTATTTATAATTGATCATAAATAATCTCAATTATCTATAATGTTTGTCTTTAACGAGTGTGACTTTGACATTTAAAATTTATATTTTTCATTATCTATTAGAACAAATTAATATCGACCATAATTTTTTAAATGTTGTAACCTAAGCCATGATATTTCATTCTACACCCTAATCGTCCTCCTGTTTACTAGTTAATTAACTTGTTATAACAAGTAATAATTCTTTTTTAATAAAAATAAACAGTTGTTGCCTAAATAACGTTCCAGCAAATACTCAAAAAATAATAATTAAATATCATTAATTAATTAATTAATAATTCACACTTAGAAAACCTCTAATCCATACAATACACCGGCATGTTTCTCCGGCCCATCATTGACAAAATACACATCCTTCATCTTCAAGAAGGCATGCCACGTCAGCAAACTATCCGAACCGGCTTGGTGGCACTTCCCAACCACCCGGTCCACCTCAAGCATCTTAGCAACCCGGTCCAACCCCCCATACAAGCTAGCACAGAACCTCATCAGATGCTTGACATCATAAACTTTATTTCCGAAAAACGCCCTGAGAACTCCCAAAAAGTCCTCTAGCCCACTCGGCAAGTCCCGGCTCGTGAGAATTTTGACCAGGTACCCGAAATCGTAGGCGCTATGAAACGTCACCCAACTCACTGAGTCATTGCAGACCAGCCCCGATGACATCATGAACTCAGCGAAACGCGCCGAGTCAATCCCGTCGACTAGGTTGCGTTCAAAGTCGATGCCGTGGCGTTTCAACAAATCAATCGAGTCAGGCGCGTGGGGATCACGGTCCACGTCGAAGTCCTTGAAGTTGAACTGCCAGATGAAGCGTTGGGACCCACCGGGGAGGTTGCCGTTTTCGTCGGAGAGAGTGAGGCCGAGCTGGATCAGGTTCAAAGCGTCGACGTTTGACTTCAGAACCTTGTAGTGATCGGCGGGTCGTAGGTGGTAGTTGTGCCGGCGAGTTGTGGGGTCCACCTGGGGTTTGAAGATGACGCCGGGGAACTCTGTGTCCATGGAGATATAGGGGTACTGATCGATGCACTCTCTGATGAGCTCGAATTCGGATTCCAAGTTTTCTGACCAAACTTCTCTGATCACAATTGATTCGTCGACGACCATGATTTTGATCGAGATTAACAGATCTAACTTCTCGTCGGCCGGAACAGAAGATCTGTGATTTGGGTATTTAGACAGAGAAGGTGGAGAGGGTTGTATGTGATTTTCGAGTGGTGGTAGTGGAGAAAGGGGGTGTGGACTTTTATACCGGGGTGGGTGATGGTGGGGAGGCTGTTGCTTGGAAAGAGGGGAAGAACAAGTAAGTTCAGTGTGCAGTTTCTTAAACGGTGAATTACATCTAAGTCCCCTTAGGTTTGTCACTCATCACATAGGTCCTTTTAGGTATGAAAAATAACACCGCAACCTCTCGAGGTTTTGTTTTGCATAACTAATAGACCCTAAAATGTTATGAACCATGCCAATTGAAATTACACCCAAATGAAATTGATTTATGCAAATAAAATACAAAATAATTACCTTAGCTGGACTTTTCGTCCTTCTCCACTATCTTATATTCTTCATTGGTGCAAACAATACAACAAATGATAGTCCATTGATTGGTGCAGATTAGGTTTCAAGCAATGGTTGGTGGCGATAATTTAATTTTGTGATGATGCAAATTGGGTTTCAAGCAATTGTCAGTGGTGGTGATTTAGTGACAAACTTGTGTCTAAGTTGGCCAGTTAGGTTTTTCTTGCAAAAGAGATATTGATCATGATAGTGTTATTGAGATGGGACATTGCCAGTGTAATGTGCAATGATGAATCAGGTATTGTCATGTGTGTCTCGAGAGAGAGTGAGAAGGGAGAGAGAATGGGTGAGTGGTGGTTGAGGGTGGTGGGATGTGGAGTTAGTCGGTGGTGGTTACATTGTCTTGCAAATAAGCAAAGGGAAAGAAGGCAAAAGAGAAAATTTGAGAGATTTTTTTGATTTGGATTTGAGTTTGGGTTTTGATTTCACCTAGTTTACGGGTTGCATTCAATTTGTTTGGATATGGGTATAACTTTGGGTAAGATCCTTGGGTTACAATTAGGGTTATGTCGTTCAAATATTTTAAATCCCATCGACTAAAATAGTAATTTTATAACTTCTCTTTATTCTGTCACTTGGTTGTACTTATAAGGGATGTCAGTTTTATATATATACATAATTTTTAATAGTTGAGGGGTTACATATGATTTATTGACAAATATTAGGTGACCCAACTGTAATTTATCTTTTTTAAAGAGAGAGAGAAACGTGGGTGCAGTGTAAGGGGGGAAGGACAAAGGAGGGGGGTGAGTCGTGGGTTTGAGGGAGTCCAAGTTCAACGCGTTTGAGTAATTTGACTGTTAAAGTCCAGGAGAGAAGTAACGTTTGAGACTTGGACTAAGTCCAAATACGGTTGCTCAGCCGTCAATTTTTTTTTTTTTTAAAAGTCTTATGGCATTTTTGGTTTTTTATTTGCAAAATGTTGTGGAACTACATAGTAATAATTAAAATTACATTACTTGAAATTATGTATCAATTAAAAGTAACTTGGACTTAAAGGTATGGTACAACGTAAGTGATAAATGATAGATTTTAAAGGGAGAGGAAAATTTAGCGTAAATATTTTTGAGAGGGATGTTAGTGATTGTTGGATGAATTTATTTAAGACCGTCGAATAAACTTATTAAAGTTTGTCCCGTTTTATATTTATAGATTATAGATGTCATATACTTCATTCTTCCCGGAAGAAAACATCTATAACCAGTTCCATATTAATATTTGTTTTGTTCCATTCTTTATATAGGGACCAATATACATTAAAAAAAATAATACTGTTATAGTGACCAAATTTAGAATTCAAATGATATGACAGTTGACTTGAGCTTCTTTATTTGGTGTCATGTCATTTGGGCCCAAAAAAAGACTTCTAATAATATGTTGTCATGTTATTTGAACTTTAAATTTGATCTTAAAATTTGATTAGCATAGCGTTACTAAAAAAAAAAAAAAGAGTTGCATGCTATGCAAAAAAACAGTTAAGAGTTTCACGTGACATGAATGTAGAATTAGATGGAACCTTCCGATGCCAATTTTTGTCTATTTTGTCAAGTTTAATCATCCCTCTTACATTCATCATATATCCATCCACCCACAGATGGGACCAAAAATGAAAAATGTCAACCAATTCTATGAAGAAGAATACAACTGACTACTGATCAAGAAAAAGAATAAAATCACCGAAGACCAATGGCCAAAGCCGCCAAACAGTATATATTACTAATTTAGGAAGTTCATTTATTTATTTTTAAATTACATATAAACTAAGGGGTTAAACTATAAAAAAAAAACTTGAAGACAATGGATTGAGATTTGCTGTATTACATTTTCAATCAATTTTATTGAATATCAGATGAAAAATCATTAATTCAAGTAGAACCCATTATTTTGTAAGTTGATCTCTTACCGGTATGCAATGAGTGATCTAACATAGCAAAAATTAATTGAACGTATAATGGAGAGCAGGGCTGACCCTAGGCTTAGGCGACTAAAGCCGCTGCCTTGGGCCCCCCAAACGGATAGAACAATTTAGAGCCCCTAAAAAAAATTATATCCCTTATTGCCTGAACTTGAAAACACAAAATAAAAAAAAAATGATTAACAACAAATATATTTATATTTATAGTCAAAATTAAATTTCAAACATAGAGTAAAGAAAAGAATTTAAGCACCGGTTATAATGAGGAGTGAACAGTGGTAGTGGTAGTGGTGGTGGTGGGAGACGGTGATAATTGTGGTGGGTGGAGATGACTGTGGTGATGGTGGCAGCCATGGATGGCAATGGTGATGCTGGTAGTGAATTTCTACTGACGATGATGGTTGTGACATGGGTGACGATGACAATAGTTGTGAGTGACGGTGATGGTGGTTGACAATGGTGGTGGTGGGGCGATGACAATAGTGGGTTGTAGTGGTGGGCAGTGATGATGGAGGGTGGTAGGCAATGACAAGTGTTTCTGGATGACAGTGTTGATGAGTTCAAATTTTACTGGACTAGGTCCAAACAGAGCACGGTCAGCCCATTAGAAATGAAGGCATCAAGAGTTCAACATCCGAAGCCCCAAGACCAACGCCCAAAGCAGGAAGGCATGACAGTCCTTTGGGCGCCGCCTAGGTAAGCCCCTTGGGCGCCTCCTCCTCTTTGCTCCTCTTGGCTTCGATGCTCCAATACAATTCCAGCCACACCAACTCGAAGCCCAGACTCAGGGTCAAGTTTAAGATCAAGATTAATCCAGTATCCCTCTTCGAGTGAATAGGATTATGAGGGAAAGAATCTCGGAATGGAGATTAAGTCCTACTAAAATAAAACTTACCAAAGTGATAGAGACCGCCTTTATCACGTCACCGCCTTACCTATATTATATAATGTATGCCCTCTCAACATTGAAGAGACTCTTCTAATGCCTCTAAAACCTCTACTCATCTCCTCACACACATTGTTCTCTCTCTCTCTCTAAAGCACTGTAATATATCAGAGTTACTTTTCTTGTTACATTATTCATCAATAAAACACCCCAGGCCATCGTTGCTATTCCCAAGAGTGGAGTAGGTCACCCAGACTGAATTACTATAAATCTCTGTATCTATCTTATTTGCCGCTTTAACCCTTAATTGCCATTGATTGCCTGTTAACCGCATATTAATTGCATCATTACACGTTCTTGGCTGTTGATCTTGCACGAGACCAATTTGTGCATCATCAAGTGTGATGAGTTATGGTAAATAGTGATGGTAATGGTAGGTGTGGTGGGGGTGTGGTGACAGTGGGTGACGATGATGATTGGTGGTGGTAAGTTTGATGAGGGTTGGTAACAGTGACTAACGATGATGGTGGGCAATGATGGGTGATGTGTGGGTTGTGATAGTGGGTGTCGATAAGTGGTGGTGAGCAACAATAATAGTGGTAGGTGTTGATAGTGGGCACTAGTGATAATGGTAATAAATATAAGAATGAAAAAAAATTGTGGTGGGTAGTAGTAGTGGACGGCATTAATAACAATCAGTGGTGGAACAGTGGCGGCAGCAAGTGTGGTGGTGGTGGTGGGATGACGACAGTAATGGTGGCAGCGGTGACAGTGGCAACATCGACGGTAATGATGGTGGTTGTGGTGGTAGAAGGGTGGCGACAACGGTGGTGGTGGTAGTTGTAATGGTGGTGACAACAACAACGATGTAGGTGGTGGTTGTTTTGGCAAAGGTGGTGATAGGGTGGCAATGGTAGTGGTGATGATGGTGGGGGTCGTAATGACAGTGGTAGTGATGAAGATTAAATACTATTTTTTTTTAAAGTATAAGTAGTTATAAGTTCTAGAAGTATTTTTAAAAAGTTACCTCAAATACACCCTTAGAGACCTATTTTTCTTATTAAATTTGAAATTTTAATATTAGCCGTCAGATTAATTTTAGAATAAAATTTAAAAAGATCTAAATCGTGAAAAGTAAAAATTATTTTATTTATCTTTTAAGATTTGAATTATATTATATTATATTATACATATATATTGCTTTTATTTGTAGAATCATTATCTCCTCATACATAATTTTTAATGCATTATAATCAAAATTAATTTACTAATATTATCTATTACCTAATTTTTTAAAATTTTAATTTTTTCCTATCTTAAATTCGAGGCCCTTTTTATATGAGTTGAATTTTTTGCTCAACTGAAAATGACTAGAAAACAGTAACTTATTCTTTCAAAATTCTATGGACATCCTTATTATGAAAAACAAAAAATTAGTATTTTTATATTTCAAATTCAACCACAGAATTTTTCATGCATAACTTGAATACAAAAACTGAATTAATATTTTTATATTTCAAAAATAATAAAAAACAATTCCAAATGAATATATAAATTTTTTTTAATAATTATTTAATCATATCTATAATAATATACTATAAAATTGGGGCATCATTTGGATATGGGGATCACTGTTCCCCCCCCCCCCCCAAAAAAAAGTTGTTACAAATTCCGGAAAATGCGGAGGAAATCAAGCCTCGAAATGCAAAAACTTTGCCAATAATACAAGCA